TTGTCCTTTCATCACCGTGGAAGTACTATGGAACTATTAATCTGGTCAGCTTCTGTATATAGAAGTACTGCTGGTACCTCCATCCCCATGTGATCTCACATACATGCAGCCAAGAGCTGATACATAGGAGCATTTATTTATTTAATTTGACAGGCATCACCTCACTCCAGTCAACTCAGGTCATCTCATAGCATAAAAACAAAAAGAGCAACATGCAATTAAAACTAGAATACAATAGTAACAAGATGGCAAACAACACAAACATGTCCAACACCCACAAGGAGTTCCAACCACCAAATGTTTGGGAGAAGAGACACATCTTTAAAAGCCTTTTGGACATTATCAAGGATTTCAGGAGGTACCTCATTCTGGAAGACAGGCATCATACCTTAACTGAAGTGTTATGGGCGCACAGCTGATTAATGTACAATTGGTCTACTAGTTAGGGAATTGATATTTCTGGTTCTTTTTGTGGAATAATTCAAAATGAACTCAAGATTTACCGTATTTTTTGCTCCATAAGATGCACTTTCCCCCCTCCCAAAAAAGGGTGGACAATACTGGTCCTTTGGTGAATAGCAGCCGGGCCGTTGCGGCGGGGTCCTTTTACAATGCTGAACCCCGCCTCTTCTGTCTTTGTCATTGCCTACCTCTTCTGTCTCTTTTCCACATGCAGGAGTCAACAGGCAGAGCAGGGACATGAGAGGACACCTATCTGTGTCCTCTCATGTCCTGATATTTTTTTTCTTGTTTTCGTCCTCTAAACCTAGGTGCATCTTATGGTCAGTGAATCTTATGGAGCGAAAAATACAGTACTTTCCCATAGAAAATTAGTAGCTCTGCAAACACCCTACAAACATAGGAGAAGAATTAGATGAAAATTTGAAGTTCTATAAATTAATTTGATATACATAAGCAAAGAAATAGGATGAAGCCACAATAATTTACCCTCCAGTGCCCACTCTGAGGTTATTCAATAGATTCTAATTATTTTAGTAAGGACTGAAAGAAAAAAAAGTTTACCAAATAATAACATGAAGAATTCTAGGGAAATATTTTGGCTTCATAGCTGCACAGATGGTTGTTGTATGGTTACTGATGAAAAAAGAGAGAATAGGGGTGAAAACAGAGAAGGGAAAAATCATAAATAAAATAGTAAAATGACCTTTATCAGAGAAAGAAAGCACAATATTTCGTTTTGTCAGTGGACATTATTGTGCTTTTTTATATCAAAACTTGTGTGAAGCCCCAAACCCTCAAATTACAATTGACAAGAGTTCAGAATGCTGTTAAACTTTTCTTGATTGGATTTGCATAATATTTCTAGGTTGTTTGTTTCCTGGAGCAGGTTTATTAGGATTACAAGTGTCATTCTGTATGATTCATATATTCATGTATCCTTGGAGAATAATCTTTTCCTATGGATGGTATATTTACTTGGGTTGTGTGGCACTTGGCATACCTTGGCAAACAAAGGAGTTCAGAATTTGCAGGATATGAATGTGGTAACTCTCTGCAATTCTTTTAAGATGAATGTATCTTTTACCTGGGATTATGTACCTTGAAGGAATGGCTGGCTTAGAAGTTCCCCAAGCTGAGACACTCTGCCTGACATACTTTGCACCACTTTTTGACCTTTGCATTCTGAGCATCACCTAGTTTTCACATGACTGCTAGGCAGTACCCACTGCTGTAGGCTGGCGATTTTGGGAACTGTAGCCTAACATATAGGTAGTCCTTGACTTACAACAATTTGTTTAGTGACCGTTCGAAGTTACAACTTTTCACACTTAGACTATTGAAGCATCCCCGTGGTCATGTGATCAAAATTCGGACACTTGGCAACTGACTCATACTTAACGACTGTTGCAGTGTCCCGGGGTCATGTGATCCCCTTCTGACAAGCAAAGTCAATAGGGGAAGCCAGCTTCGCTTAACACCATGTTACTAACTTAACAATTGCAGTGATTCATTTAACAAATGTGGCAAGGAAAGTCATAAAATGGGGCAAATCTTAAATTTCTCACTTAGCAACATAAATTTTTGGCTCAATTGTGGTTGTAAGTCGAGGAGTACCTGTATATGGTAAACACCAGTTTAGAGGAATATAGTAAATTAAAACACAACTTTAGATCTTGGCTCCCCTTGCCCTATTACTTATTTTCCCCTCCCTCCCTTTTAAACACATTCAAGTTACATTAAGATAAAAGTTGCCCAACATCACTGATTATTTACTACTGTAGCTATTCCTTCATGTTTGATCCACTAGATTAACTGTGTCCAGTAGAACTATTCAAGCAAAGTAGCTCTTGATAATTGAAAAGAGCTGTAGCAGCCCTGATCCATATGTGTGTGAATAAATTGTTTGGCATATTTCCATTGATAAAGAGCACCAACTGCCTCTGAAATTCAAAGTAGTCTTGATAAATGCAACTGTTTTAGGGGAAGTTTTCAGTTCAAACTCTAGGTGTGGCACTGGAAAAAAAAAAACCCGGTTTCTTCTTCCTTGTAAGGATCTTTTAATGGTTTGTAAGCTTGAAAGAGACTTTATCCAGGAAGCAATGGAGCCTGGGTGTGAGCAGACCTGACTTCCATTGTTCAGTCTGTTATTGGTCAGTTGCCCAGGGGACCCAGTACAGATCTGATAGGGCTAAGTGCTCTCAAATGCTCACCCTTGGTAACTTCTCAAGCACACCTGGAGGCAGGTGGGGAAATGCTACAGTTCAGCTTTAATTGTGCAATATAGTCTTATCTGTGGAATATGAGGTCCTAAACATATAAAGGAAACAACCATTCTGAAGACTGTTAACAACAACAACAAAAAAGGATGACCCCCCTACTGCACATTGGCACTTTCCTGATCATATAATTATAGGAATATGTTTCCAGGTGTAATTCACTGTTGTTATGAATGCCTTTAAGGCTCTAGCTTAACTTCATCTTGACTGAACCAGGGAAGAGAGGTTCTTCTCTTGTGTTCCAACCATGGCTGAGTGATTTCTTTAAAACATTTTAGTAATATCCTCTTTAGTTATCCTTTAGTAACTCATCTTTTGGGAAAAGTCTGCAAAGAAACGAAGAAGTTAATATGTGCACTAAGGGGGGAAAGTTGTAGAAAAGAGAGGTACAAAAGTGTGAAAGTATAAAAGTTTGCTCCCAAATCTGTTAGCAGGATTGGTGTGTGTGTCTTCAGAAGCACAGGAAACAAGGCAGAGTTTATTGAGTCGGATTGGTTTGTTTTTTGCTCTTCAAATTGTATTTATTTTGGAGGTTTGTAATATTATTCAATGTAACTATAGGAATTCCTCAGATTTACAGACTGTACAGCACCCTTTCCAAGGAGCAGTTATTAAATGACTGGTCATAAGTCAAGGACTACCTGTAAACAGTTATTTCTGAAAATACTTATTTTAGAATTAAATTAGAATTAATAATTATTTTAGAATCAGAATTGGAGGCCTATAAAAAATGGATAATACGCCATAGCAGCTCTTGGAAAATGGCCACCAAATTAGCATCAGATAAGCCATTGCCTCTGTGCTGCTGGCAAATGAGTTCTCTTAATATAACAGAATAATAAATCAATAGTGCAGCATATGGTTTTTCTGTTATATAATTAAATGTAAGGACAGCAATATGGAAAACAGGCAATGAGAGAGGTATGTGTAAAAGGTGTGCTTTTATGTAGAAGACTGACTAGTCTTATATCCTGCAGTAAAATGATATACTGTACTTTTATGGACTTTTTCTTCTTGCTCTTAGAAAGTACATACTATACTATCAATCAATTGTAATGAGTTATGTGACATAATACAGAGGCATAGAATTGCTTCATGCATGCTGGGACTATTTTACATACAGTAAGTATAGAAATGCACCAAGTTGTGTGTAGCAAAGAAAGAGCATGCTAATTTAATTACAATAGTTGTCAATTTCTTATCTATACAGTATTTTTGTTTTTAAACAGTCCTTTTATGTAGACTGCAGTCTGACCAAGGAGCCCTATTGAGCTTAGGATCATACTATGTGACCTAAGGCAGAAGGGCCAGCCACAGTTCATTTCCCACCCTCATATTGCACTACCACATTTCAGTAACAAACTGGACTAATTTCGACAATGCAGTTTTGGGTCATTTTTAGGGTTTGGCGTAGTCTTAAAGTAAGAGTAGTTTGCCTTTGTAAAAACCCTGCTCTTATTCCCACTCTTAACTAGTATATTCTAAACCCAAAGAGTTCAGCTGCAGCTCTTTGAATAGTGTCATGGGATTAGCGGATGACCTCAAGTACAGCAGTCATTCAGAAGATTAGGAGGCTGAATTGTAGCATCTGGCGTCTGTAGCACTGCTTACCTCTAACATGAATGAAAATGGACATATTAGAATTACACGTCAGAGATGTTTTGGTAGCATGTTAAGGACAAGATATGAGGTATAAAGGGGAGGTGAAAACAATCTGTGTAAAAAACCCCAGCTCTTGAGAATTTGGAGTGCCAGGTATCCTTGGTAATGAGGTATCTTACTTCCCAGTACAGCTATTGAGCTATACCCTGATTGATTCATGACTTGCTAGTTAGGAAGAAACAAGCAAGCATTCCAAGTAGACCACCTTATGCCCTCCTTACCTGTCTGTCCCATTCCAGTTTTGATATTTAAAAATCTATCTCCAATAATTATAGAAGAAGTGAATTCAAACTGTTGTGAAATACAGGTACCAGCTACTCTTGTTCTGTCACACACCGTATATGTACAATGTATTTTTCCAAAGGTAAAATAAACTTTTTTTTGTTGTTGGGAATTCAATTAGGTCAGCCTTCATTAATCAAATGTCCTCTAGATCTTTTGGAAGACTTTTACTATGTGGGAAATGTGAACATTACAATCTTAACTCAAACTCAACTTATACACCCAACTGACTAAATTGATTCAAGATGTCAGCAATCAACACCTCTTACTAATTTTGTCTTAAAGTGAAAAATCTCTTCATTTCTTTAATTTCTGTAGGGCTGGATGAATGAGATCTATAATTATGATCCAGAAACCTATCATGCTACGTTGACTCACTCTATTTATGTGAGACTCGAAGGAAGCATCCTGAGGCTTTCAAAACCTAACAAAAATATTTCCAGAAGAGCTTTTTACAATGAAAGCAAGCCAGATGTTACCTACATTAGCCAGAAAATTTATGATCTTACAGATAGTAAGGTGAGTTCAGAATTAATAATTTCTATCTGGCATTGTTTGGATTTCTGTTCTACATTGTTTTCATCTGAATTATTGCAGTTCGAGTGCAGCAGACAGCAATATATCTGCGAACCTTGGAGAAATCATTTGTCCTATAGCTTTCAGGGATGCTCAGAATAATATCTTCTTGCTACTGGTATCCCTGCCTCTTCACACTAAAGGGGAGGGTAAAGGAGGAATGGTGGATAGGAGGAAATCATCCTATTGAGTGAAACTCATTAGACAAAAATCCTTTTGTCTAATTCCCAGAGTTATAGGTACGTTTTTAATGCCAGCTCCATGTCTGTGATAATATTTAGGTTTGACAGGTTTTCATTTTACCATGCTTCTAATCCCATCAAAGAATGAGTGAAGTTTCTACAAACATCTGAAATCCTCTCTGGCCCTGTCTGCCATGATCTTTAAATTATTTGCATAACCAGAATAAAATGGTTTAACGTAAACATTGGATAGTTCAGTTGATTTGTAAGATTGCATGCTTCATGATTACAGGTAGCAATTATTTGGCACACATGCACACCCATTCCCATAAAACTTGCTATGGCTGCTCTTCAGACCACCATACTCCTTAGGTCTCGTTTCCCAGATTTTTGCAGGAAAGTAAGTCTAATAGCAATAAATAAATAAATAAATAAATGCTGGGCTGATAAGAGATTTGTCCCACACCAAGTCTTTCCAACCTGTCAAATAAAATACAAAAGAAGCCCAAATATAATTTGTTCCAGAATTACACTTCCTAATCCATATTTGATCACTCCTGAATATTGGGCAGGCAGCTTGCCTAACGTTGTTTTGACTTGATTGTTTCTTTGATTATGGCAATGCATTAGTATTCTGTAGTCTCTTCTCTAATGAGATGAAATGTGAAACACTCTCACAACTTGGTTTGCAGATTTATTTGGTTCCCAAAAGTTTGGCTCGAAAACGAGTCTGGAATAAAAAGTATCCAATCTGCATTGAGCTTGGGAGACAAGACGATTTCATGGCCAAAGCCCAGACTGATAAAGAAATCTCAGAAGAAAAAATCTCTGTAGACAAGGAAAACCTAAGCACTGAAGAAATCTGGAAACCCTCTCAGGATGGAGCAAAGTCTGGGACCCAGAAGAACCAAGTGCTTTATTTATTTGCAAGGACAGGTCGAGAGAAAGAAGAATGGTTTAGGAGATTCCTTGTCGCCCAAAAATTAAAATCTGAAGAAAAAAAGCCAATTGTCATTTGGGGAAACAAGTCAGGTAGGAACCTGTTTGCTTATTCTATTGAGACTGTGTGTAATAAAGTCAAAATACCAGTTTATTAAAGGTTAATTGGGATTAATCTGGAGCCCTGATGGTGCAGTGGTTAGAATGCAGGTTTGCTGGCTAACTCTGCCCACAGTCTGAAGTTCGATCCTGAAGGGGCTCCTGAAGTTGACTCATCCTTCTGAAGTCAGTAAAATGAGGGCCCATATTGTTGCAGCAATATTCTGACATTTGTAAATTACTCAGAGAGTGCTGTAAAGTGCTATAGGGTGGTATACAAGTCTTAAGTGTTATTGCTATTGCATGATTAAGAAAGAACTCTGCTATTCAGTGAGTTCATCAAGGAATGGTAATTGTCTTCTAAAGACATTAAATTTTAACAAAACTACATTCTAATGTCCTGCCTTATATAAGTGGTTGATTTGAGTAAACATGGAATTAATCTGTCTTTGGGTTTTTTTTCTTGCAAAACAATAATTTAAAATGTTATGAGACTCCAATATATTTCCAGAAATAATACACATACATTTTAGGCAGAAGTATTTTAAAGGTTGCTTCTTGAAGGGACTTAATTTTACTTTATTAATACTAAATGTGTAGTTCAGTTATGATTCATAATGGTACGATTTTATGACATTTAACGTTATAGGAATATTAGACTTCCTGCCAATGTTCTCAAATCTTTAAATCTGATATATATAATACATCAATTAATGGTTAATATAATTCTTCATCTTTTACTACACGTCCCCTATACGCTCTTTTATATAATACTTCTGGAACATTCTTTTTTAGGATTGTGGCTCACCTAAAAATTTAAAATTATCTCTTTAAAGTTAATAGGGCCTGGAAATTTGGCCATAATTGAACCCTTGAGCATTTAATACAATAATAATTACAGAAGATGTTTAGGAAAGTAATATATCAGTTTTTATTCTTTTTAAAATAACTGAAATGTATTTAATTAAACACAGATTGCTCAAACACAATTTACAAAGTCTTTGCCTTTATTCCAAATAAAGCTTCAAGTTATCTGTGTGCAAAATATTTGCACTGTTTATATATAAATGTTTGGCCAAGTTTATGGCAAGCTTCTAAAAAGCTGAAGAGTAGTTCAGAAATGTTTCCTCTTAACCCAGTTTATGGAAAAACCCTTTCACAGAAGTGGGAATGATAATGGAAAGTGATTCCACTTATTCAGTCTTGTAAAATGTTTAAATTGAGGCTAGTGGGTGTGAGAATGCTTGTGTTTTTATTTGCTGACACTCATGATTCTTGGATTTTTAGCTTTGCTTACATTCAGGTTCTTTTCTAGTCTAGAGTTGTTCAGCAAATCAGATTTGGTGCAGTTTTACATCCTCAGCTGTCTTCTTTCCTCTAAAATTTTCTCTGTTCTATTTACTATGATTTATTTTCAGACAGTTTCTTGTAAACATTGCCAAAACCTGTTTTAAATTAAGGATTGGTGTGTTTATATATGGTACTGAAAAAGATGCATAGACCAGATAGAAGTATCTGTGGCTTTCCAGATGTTATTGAACTACAATACAATACCCAGCATATTGTCCATGTTAGCTGTGGCTCTGGGAATTCAACAACAACTGAAGGCTACAAACTGATATCTCTTGTGGTTTACGTTAAAGTCAAAACTATTATACAGTATAATCTTGAATCGATTGTGTGAAATAATAATGTGTGTACTTCCATAATGAATAGATTAAATCACAGTGTATGTTCTCCACCTTGTCATATTGACAACCTTGTAATTTGCTTGGCATCATAATCTTCTGTTTTTCAATCTGTTTCATTCTTATGTTCCATATTTGATTATGTATTGATGCTTTACCCATTGTTTTTCCTTCTTATTGTATTCAGGCTTCTTGCCAGCACATAGTCGATCCAATAGCCAGTCTGGGATTCTTACACACAGCCGCAGCAGCAGTAAAGGAAGTGTAGAAGAAATCGTTCCTCAGCCAAAGCTGAAAGACCTGGGTTCCAACATCAGGCAGAAAATACTTTTAGACTATAAGGTGTACATGGCAAGGTGCATTCCGCCAGAACTCCCAAGCCCTGCGGTTAGTCCCGATCACAGTGCTGACAGCAGCCCCACAGCCGTGAAAAAGGTGAAGTATATTCTTTAAATATTCTTGATTGAGGTGTTATGATTTACCTTGTAGCGGCTGCTAAATTCAAGTGGGCAGGGGCTGTTTTTTGTTCCCAAAGAAGTGTGGGGCTAATAACATTTCTATGGTATGCTCACTTTCTCAACATTCAACATTATTTTGATGCAGCTTAAAAGATCTCTGCAACAGTAGATATTTCATTTAGTTCTTACACTTCTAGGACTACCCATCAATAGAACTACTCTGATGTTAGAGAGCAAAATTAAAAATATTGCAACAACTGTTCTTTTTAATAGAAACAGAATTATAACAATTGGGATTTAAACTATTGTAAAAAGATGTGTATTCAAGTATTTATACAAAGCACAAGTTATTTTAGGCTGATTCACAGAAATAAGTTCTAAATTCACAGGAAGAAATCATTTCAGGTTTTTTGGTCACGGTACTTAAGTATTGTGTCCAGTTTCTGGGCTCCACATTTTTAAAATGTTTAGAAAAACTGAAACAGATTCAGAGCCAAACAGTGAAAATCACAATTTAAATTATGAAATCTAGAAATTACGAAGAAAAATTCTAAGATCTAGCCTTGAGAAAGCAGACAGTTTTGGAAAAGGGGAAATATGATTACAATTTTCGAATAGCTGAAAGATGTCGTTCAAAAGATAAAGAGCCAGTTTGTGTAACAGTTAAAAGGCTGGATTAGTATTTGGGAGTCTGGAAGTTCTAGCACACCCTTAGGCATGAAAGCCAGCTGGGTGACTTTTGGCCAGTCACACACACTCAGCATAACCCACCTCAGTAGGTAGTTGTTATGAGACTAATAGGAGGAAGCATTACATACACTGTCTTAAATTGTAGAAAATAAAGGTCTGGTATAATCAGATCAGTAAATGATAATAAAGACCTGTTCTCTCTCATTCCAGAGTGTAGGAGGTAGAATAATGGATTTCAATTACAGGAAGGCAGCTATTATATTGGGAAGTCTTGTTCTGTCAATAAGAGCAGCTTGACAGTGGAACTAATTACCCAGAAAAACTGTAGTTCCCTTTTGCTGAATATATTCAAGCAGGGGTAGAATAATCTTTTGTGGAAATGTATACTTTGAATTTGTGTACTGAGCAGGTATTAGATTTATCCCATCCAAATTAAATTCTATGAAAATCACCCTTTGCATACCCTATATACAGTGGTGGGATTCAGTTTTTTTAACAACCAGTTCTGTGGGCGTGGCTTAGTTGGGGGTGTGGCTTGGTGGTCATGTGACCAGGTAGGCATGGCTAGCTGGTCATGTGACCAGGTGGACGTGGCTATGTGCATAGGACTACTCAGAGGGCTGGAAAAAGTCATTTCTGACTGGTCCTCGCATTTATGACCATCCTCACATTTATGCCCGTTGCAGCATTCTTAACAATCGTGTCAGACATTTCACCACTACTTCTCTTCACCACAGTGACAAGATAGGGCGCAAAACGTAAAATGTGAGGACAGTCGTAAGTTCGAGGACTGGTCAAAAGTGCGAGGACCAGCCAAAAATAACTTTTTCAGCCCTCTGAGTAGTCCATATGTACAAAAGGACTACCCAGAGGGCTGAAAAAAGTGATTTCTGACAGGTTTTCGCATTTTTGACCGGTCCTCACCCTTATGACTGGTCATCATTTATGCCCATTGTAGCATTCTTAACAACCGTGTCACTCATTTCATAACTGCTTCTCTTCACCATGGTGACAAGATAGGGCGCAAAATGTAAAATGTGAGGACAGTCGTAAATTCGAGGACTGTTCAAAAGTGCGAGGACCAGTCAAAAATAACTTTTTCAGCCCTCTGAGTAATCCATATGCACAAAAGGATACAGCAATAGAGAGGGATGAAGGAAAGAGAAGAGAGATGGAAGAAAGAAGGAGAGAGAGGGAAGGAAGAGAAGGGAGGAAGGGAAATTAGAGTAGGAGTGAGAGGAAGAGAGGGAGGAAGAGAGGAGGAGAAGGAGAAAGGAAGAGGAAGTAGGGAGGAGAAGAAGCGGGGGGGGGAAGAAAGTAAGAAGGAAAGAAAAGAGAGAGGTGGTAGGTTTGAGGAGAAAGATTGCTGTACAGTAAAAAAGATGAAATGGAAGAAAGGCAACCCCAAACAAATATAAAGATATTAAGATAAAGAATGAATTGTTAAACTTTAAAGAATAAAAGAGAACAAATATGAATAAATAGTAATAATTAGAAATACACACACAAACATACAATTTATTTTCTTTGAACAGAGTATTTGGCCAGTTCACAAATTTAAACAGTGTTTAGTCATTTCAATTAAATTTACAATTTCTATATTTCCTTTTTATTTATTTTTTATTTTTATTTATTCCTTATCTATTTTTTTAAAAAACCAATATTACCTTTCATCCTCATCTCTAATCTTAATCAAATTCAATTTTTCCCTTCTATATTATACCCCTTCCCATTGTCATCTATTTTTATATCCATCCTCACATTGGTTAATTATGTAATATTACAGTTGTTTAATATAAATTCAACATTTTAATATAAATCAATTAGTTGTATAACTATCTTTTTTGTATATTAATCAATATGAACATGAATATTCCAATTATTTCCATGCAATCCAATTTCTTACAAATCAATTAATTATATTTACCAATAATAATAAACCAAATAACTTCCCCCATATATTCCTCCAAACCACAATTTAACCATTTCTGCTTTCAACACAATATACAATTAATAGTATCTCAATTATTACAATTCCCTAGTTAAATTAAGCTTTTTTTCTTTTGTATTTTAAAATCTTGAACTCTCCTCTTTTTCCCTAAATTTCCCATTGTTTGCACCTACCTTTTTTGGTGAGGAAAGGGAAAAGAAATCTGCCTGCCTAATTTTCCAACGTTGCAGCAAACAGCAAAGCCAACAGCCTGCTTTACTTTCAGTTTCGTTTTTCAGCATAGCTAGGGGAAAAAAAATCTGCTCCAGCAGATTTTTGCAAGCAAGCAGCAGAGCCCTGAGCAAAACAGCTGAGAGCAAATCAGCTGAGAGTCGGGAGGCCGATCTAATCAACGGGCTAATTAGCCTATGCTGAAGCTCCGCAGGCCAATAAAATTCCAAAAAAACACCGAACCGTTTGTTAAATTGCTGGCTCGCCCGCCCCTCGCCCACCACTATTTATTGGCAATAAATAGTGGTGTGGAGGGGCGGGGTAAGGGGCAGGGCGAGCCAGCAATTTAACAAACGGTTCGGTCGAACCACCTAGAACCAGCAGAATCCCACCACTGCCTATATACAGTCTCTTCTGTTTTACTTGGGACTGTCTTGAATACTGTTTATGAAATGTGACTTATTTACAACCCTTTTCTCTCTTTGTTTGCGTGTAAAGTCCACTATTGATGCTTGTATATTTCCCATAGTGAGTGAAGTAAGCTCTTGAGCAGTGAGGTAGAGGATAACACTAGCTCAATCTCAGTCCTATCTCATTTCCCCAGCACAATGGAAATGCAGACCAGGATACCTAAGCAGATGAATGACTTTTTTAGAGATTAAAAACATCCTTTTCCCCTACCTGGAAGCTCCAGTTGAGACACACACTTAAAACCAAGGTGTGCATTTGTAAAAGACTCATACAAGTCCCTTCTATCAACCAGTTAAATAAGCAAAGTTGATATACCGTATTTCTTGGAAGATATTGTGGATGCAAACACTTTTCTGTTAACTAATCTGGTATTTATTAACAGCATGTTAGCCATATTATCAAGGTTGGCAGAGAGACTGGTGTTAAGGCACCACATAGATACTATCTTGCCTCCCTACTAACATTCAACTACCCTTTCCTTTATTGTTATAGCAGTTCCTACCTGCAGTCATTCTTAGGGTTGTTTTGCCTCCATCCTGAATTAATAGTCACCTTTTCTAGGTGTGAAACACAAGCTGACTTGTTCCGGTTGCTGTGCACAATCCAGCTCTGATTCTGAGAATATAATTCTCAGGTGGGGTGGGGTGGGGCGGTGTTCAGTAATAGAATCATACAATCAGCAAGAATTACACCTGCTTTTGATTCATAGTTGCACTTAAATTTGAATTAACATCCAGAGACCCACATATTTAATCTCTCACAAACAAGGCTCTGGCTTGAGCAACTTCCCCAAATAATAACCATAACAGGCCCTGTTTGTTATCTAGAGGCAACATTGAGAGGTCTATTCTTTATATACTTCAATCTGCATAAATAATCTTATATGTCTATGCATAAATTTGTATTAGTTCAATAACTTTTATTAGCTGGATCTCTGATTTTTTTCTATCCCCTCTCTTTGTTGGATACAGGTCAGTCACAATTGATTTAACTGTTGAAGCTTTTTTCTGTTCATTTCAAGTCAACCCCTTCAGGCATACCTCCTTCCTAAGTGATGGATGGCTTTGATTTACAATTATATACCTTTACAATGGCAACTTCCTCAAAGATTTAGATAGGGAATGCCTTTATGCTCCCCCTGAGATGCAATGAGGGTCATCTGGTTAAAATAACAACAAAAAAGGCAATTACTATGGCATTTGTGTTATTGTTAAGATAAGTGGCATAGCAATACAAAATGCTCTTGTTATCAGATAAGAGGACAGCCAAGATGCCTTGGGCAACCCCATCCAATTTCTTTGTAAATTATTTACAATTTACAGTTGTAAAGTATTCTTATGAGGAGATTGAACTGTGTTTATGCCCTTTCCATTCTTTGCAAACCTGAAGATCTTCTCTGATCAGCATCAGTGCTAGCTTCAGCTAGTTGGGAGCCCAATGATTGCTGCAATTTTGCTATTTTAATAAGATACCTATTTTGGACTTCTTCAGTCATTTTGACTTATGTTTTAAGGTGAATGTTTGCCACCACCAGTGTGGCCCTTTGATAGTAACCATAGCCCAATACTATGTTCCAAACATAGTAGTCCCATTGGTAAGACTCAAGGCTACCCGAGCATCTTGAGTTGTATTTTTGTTGATAAGGTGTAGTTGGGAACTGGCCTTCACTTTATCAGCAATTGGGGAGTTAGAGTTAATGGGGAATGCATACGTCTTCCCCCTAACTTTCAGATGGCCTGGCCATGGTCTTCTGCCATTTGTTAACTACAGACATTTTGCAAAAATGTCCTCTCAACCCCATATATGGCATATTGCTATTACCCAAAAGTCTTAGGAAATCTGTTAAAAGCTTCACCTCAATATTAATAGAAGCAGAGTGGAATCACTGAGAAAAGACTCAGTCCCAGTCTGATCCAAGATTAAGAAGGCACAGGGTTCTTACTAAAAGCTATTGTGATCATTGGGCAAAGCAGAAACCAATGTCAGATCCTGTCAAAGGAATGTCCTGGGGAAGAAGCTTTGAAACCGGACATGAAAGTGCATAAGATCAAAACATTTTTCCAACTTCTGATTGCTGTTGCATATAGAAATGTTCATGATGGGAAAGAATGCCAGCTTTGAATGAAATACAGCTGATGCTACTCATCTCTGACTGCCAAAGGCAGCAGCTCTCTCCTGAAGAGACTGGATGATTGATTTTAGATCGGTGTCAGAGTCTTCATAGGGCTGAATTGAGGCAAGGCTCTGCTTGATTTCTTTTTCTGGCATCCCAGTTCTTCAACCTGTTTAGCTTCCAGTCTTATTCCTCCTACACTAGTGATTTACATACTGAAGCATCAGCTGATTACCTTGGACAATATATTAGACTCATTCATGTGAAATATTTTTAACTTGCTGTTAAGTACAAAAAAACACAATTATTTCAATAAACATGTTAAAATTAACTGTTCACTTTATATATTCAGTAGTAGCATTGTGAAACTTATTAAAAGTGAATTTTTTTTAAAAAAAAATCTCTTGCCAGTTGCTAACCACCTCCCATAGTGAAGATGAAGAACAGGAAGCCTGGATCAATGCTCTGCTGGGAAGAATCTTCTGGGATTTCTTGGGAGAGAAATATTGGTCTACTTTGGTGTCAAAGAAAATACAGATGAAGCTCAGCAAAATAAAGGTAGGAATATTTTCCTATGTTTCTACCATCTGTTTAGGTAGCCCATTCTTGAAGGGAACTGTTATAGAGTTTCAGTCTGCTGGCAGTGCAGGATGCTATCAAGCAACTGTCAGGGACTACACCAGTCTGTTTTTTTCTTGAACCATAAAGTTGCTTGGCATGTTTATCATAACTGTTAGTCAGACTCTTGGTGGTTTCTGGACACTTTTAGAAAATTAAATAATTCTAGAGGTTTTCTACTTTTGTCTTTCTAATTCCTGAGGGAACACCATTTTATTTTTATTTGAACCGTTTTTAATTCCACCTGTTAGCTGAAGTAAACTCCTAGAACAGGTTACAAAAATTAGTAATAGTAGTCCTTGCCCTAGACAGGCATACTAAAAGATATGTCATAAAAGGATTGGGAGGGAAAAGAAAATGGAATGTCAAGAACGGAAACATTTTGAGAAAAAAATGGTAACCTTTGCCGTTCTAATGCAATAGGCCTACTCCCTTTTCTGCCTTGACTCAAAAGTACTAAATGAACCTTCATGGAGATGATCCCCCAGGAGATCTGATACTTTCCCCCCTTTAAAGGTAAAGGTAAAGGTTCCCCTGCGTATGCATGCTAGTCGTTTCCGGCTCTAGGGGGCAGTGCTCATCTCCGTTTCTAAGCCAAAGAGTCAGCGCTGTCCGAAGATGCCTCCGTGGTTATGTGGCCGGCATGACCCAACACCGAAGGCGCATGGAACGCTGTTGCCTTCCCACCAAAGCGGTCCCTATTTTTCTATTTGCATTTTTTACATGTTTTCGAACTGCTAGGTTGGCAGAAGTTGGGACAAGTAACTGTCCTGCCCCAGCTACGGACCCCAAAGAACACAGCACACACAAAGTCCATGCAAACCTTAGTTTACTCATTTAAATCAGTCTTTTCTGAACAAAGGCTGTTAATTTAACTTCATTAACAGCCGACAAGAATCCAAAGAATAATAAATAAATTCTGAGGTACAATATTTCAGATAACTGTAATCTTACTGTGGTTGGCAAAATGCCCAGAAGCAATTTGCAGGAAAACTGATAAGAGAGAAACAAGAGCTGAATCAAGACGCGAAGGAATGTGAACGAAGTTGTTTCCTGCAAATTGCATCATTCTTCGTCCTTCCTTAAATAGGCTAGGGGAGTGGCCAATTAACCCTAAGCCTTACTCTCGAGGAGACCTCCTCCTGAGGAGCCACTCCTGCCTTTTGGCAGCTCTGCGCGCTCGTGCATCGAGAAGAGGCTCCTCTTCCTCTTCACTTATGGGAGCTTCTGGAAGTTCTGAAGGCCCTGGATGAATCCCCACCTCTGGCACCATATCTTCTCCAGCCTCCTCATTGTCTGACTCGAGTGCCAACTGCACAGGCTGCTGTGGCAGTACCACACCAGCCTCCTTGCTGTCGGAATCAGCTACTAACTGCACAGGCCGCTGTCGGGCCACAACAGTAACAGGAGCTCACCCCATTATGCAGCGCTAGGGATTCGAACCGCTGAACTTCTCTTCGACAAGCTCAGCATCTTAGTCGCTGAGCCATCGCATCCCTTTTCCCCCTTTAAGAACCCCCAAAATAAGTTTTATTTAATAATATAAACATAGTTTTGTCCTCCTTTTTAGATTATTAACAAGAATTCTTCCAGCAACCATTTACCTGTTGTGCACAACTCAGTGCTTGTGCATTGGCTTCAGTCAGGTCCATCAGTCTGCAACAGTCTGCCTGTTATTTCAAGAGCTGGTTGTTCATTCAGGATTTTCATATGAGTGAAATATTTATCCACACCAAGCATTAACCTTCAGGACTATCAGAGTTATCAGAGAGCCAAAGGCAGAGATTCTGATAGGTGCTGTTTGTGCCCCCAGTCTGCAGACTTTTGAATAATAAATGATCCAAGCACTGTTTTTGTTTCTCTGTTCCCCTAAATGAGTTTTAAATGAAAATGTATGACCCAAGGTAGTGCTGCGATTCAGCTGTGTCCCATCCAGTTAATTTCTCTACGTGTCTTGATTGCACAAATGAAACAACCATACTAACTTCCAAATTAGCTGGCAGCATAAGTGATCAGTTTTCCTAATGCTGTTCTGCAGGAATGATTGTATATTAGCATGAAAACAAATTTCCCATTTGAATATTTTAGTAGAGATAGCCATTTGGCGTCTTTTAAAAAAGCAACTGCAGCCAATGTGGGTACTGGTTGATGCATCTGTGAATTAAAGCCTACAATTTTGGAAACAAAAGCTTGCCTTCCAAGCTCAGCCAAAGCTTTTATTGTTCTTTCTACTAAAGACTAGGAACATTTTGTTCAAATGTTCATGAAATAATAGTGTTCTGATATTGAAAATCTACGTGGAGTTCACTAGGTCGGTTGAATTAATTATTGACACACACTCTCTCTTATTCATGTCATCTTGGTAATGATTTTGTTGCTATACTCAGTGTTGCTACACTAGTGATCCATTAGGAGCTAGGAAGATGGAGTACCTATTTAAAGCTTAAGCACCAGAAGAGCTAGGAAAGTGGTGCCAGAATAGTGAGGAGAAAAACAATACTGACAAGAAGTAGAATTCCCCCAGCTAAATCAGGAGAGACATCCCTACATTTCTTAAGAACAACCTTCCACAGGTCTGATACCCTCCAAATGCACTGAGACAACATCAGGGTGAGGAAGATTTTTAAGATGAACATTTTGTCAACTAGCTTATAATTACAAAGTCATACATTAATCCAGTAAAATGTACTCTCCCTCCCCCCCCCTTCCACAAGACCTTATGACAGATCTTTAATTTTTTTCTTAGTGCAGGGACAGGCAACTCACTTTGGGTTTATTGGCACATTTGGGATTATGAGACGCTGTTTGTCAGGCACAAGCAACCCGAGCCACTCGTGAATAGGATCAACTAGATATTTTATTGTTAATTATCTATATTACAAGAATTTTCCAGACTGTCTGTCTCCTTGGGAAATAGCAGGTATAGACCTAAAGGTTTTACCTCAGACTATTCTCTCCTGAACAAACTCTAAACTGGAATGTCTCTTTACTCTCTCTAGAGGGGCACCTTCTCCTCCAGCTGGTAATTCCACCACATTGTTGAAGATTTTTAAATGGATGCCAAGGCACTGTCATTCACAAGTTTGATGTAACCCTTTGTGTGTTGCCCCACTTCCCTTTTTGTTTGTTTTTAATAGAAATAAGTATCTTCTATATGGTTTTCGATGAAACAGAAAACAGGTGGGCTTTAGTCCATGTCTTGTGCCCTTCATGTATTCATCACAGATTCTACTATTGATTTATGTGCCATTCCTTTGGGAGAGTGAGAAAGTTTTCTCTAATTTCTTTGCAGAGCCAGTTCTGGGTTTCTTATCTGACTTTGAGCTGCTGCTCACCACAGTGTTAGTGTGCATATCTCCAGTGCTTGAAACAGCAGCAAAGTATTCTGTTAGTAACAGAACTTGCAAGTCCTAACCTAGTGGCTTCACTACAGGTAGTCCTTGACTTACATCCATTCATTTAGCCACCATTCAAAATTACAATGGCACTGAAAAATATGACTGGTCCTCACATTTATTGCAGAATCCCAAAAGTCACATGATCAAAATTTTGGTGCTTGCCAACCGGCATGTAATTACAATAGTTTTAGCATCCCGGGGTCATGTGCTTGCCATTTGCAATGTTCCCAATCAGCCTCCATCCAGCAAAATCAATGGGGAAAGCCAAATTTGCTTAACAACTGATGTGATCCCCTTTTTAAAAAGATTGGGTATGACTTACTTAACAGGAGCTGTGGTGGCGCAGTGGTTAGAGTGTAGTGTTGCAGGCTGACCCTGCTCATTGCCAGGACTTCGATCCTGACTGGCTGAAGGATGACTCAGCCTTCCATCCTTCTGAGGCTCCATGCTCCACACTGGTAATCTGCCACTCAGGATGTTTCTGAACACAGCACTGAGGTCAGTAAAATGAGGACCCACATTGTTGGGGGCAATATGCTGACTCTGTAAACCACCCAGAGAATGCTGTAAAGCAAGTGCTATTGGTATTACTATCCACCTTGCTTAGCAATGGAAATTCTGGTCCCAGTTGGGGTTGTAACTTGAGGACTACTTGTACAGGACAATTGAAGGAAAGCAATTGGTGATTCTCCTCAGTTTGCTCCCCCTCCCCTTCTGCCATCACTAGCTGGCAGGACTGATTGCTTTCCTTAAAATTGAGTCGTAATGGGCTTTGGTATCTGAGTGAGTGCTTGATGCAGATGATTTAGCCGCTTTTCAGGTTTCCCTGGTGACTTGTCATTGGCACAGGGATGCTCCATGTTGGTAATCTGTCACTCAGGATGTTTCTGAACACAGCGCTACTGGTGATTTAGAAGACTGGTACATTTGTGCTGAGAAATAGACCAACTGACAGATTGATGGAGTGGAGAAGATATGCAGGGTGAAGCAGGAAGGAGCTTTCATGTCACATTGGGACAGTCCTGTCACCTATTGATCTGTCAGCCAGGCTATTTTTGGAAACAGATTTATGGTCTTTCTGTCACTTGAGTTAGAAAGGGAAGCTCTTATTAATTTCACTCCAGCTTTGATATGTCCAGATTTATATGTGCTGCAAGGGAATACTAATGTTGGCAGTAAGTGGCGGCAGCTGGCAGAACCCAAAGATGTTCTGTGGAACATGTAGAACGATATTGGAGTAGGCAAAATAGCACACCTCTCAAGAAATTAAAAATAGTAGAAAGCACCAAAAACCATGTGTTGACAGAAGGAACAGAAAACCTGCAATGCTCTCATTTGGGACAAAAGAGCCAGTTTGGTGTAGTAGTTAAGGCATCAGCTAGAAACCAGGAGACCATGAGCTCTAGTCTGGCCTTATGCAAGAAAGCCAACTGGGTGACCTGGAGCTAATCACTCTCTCTCTCAGCCCTAGGAAGAAAGCAGTGGCAAACCACTTCCAAAAATGTTGCCCAGAAAACTGCAAGATTTGTCCAAGCAGTCATAAGAGCATGTGTGCACGTCAGTGGTGAAATGTAAAATTTGTTACTACCGGTTCTGGGGGCGTGGCTTGGTGGGGAGGGGGTTAATGTGACGGAGTGGGCATGGCCAACTTTTTTTTTTTTTTACATTTTTAAAGCATTTTTTTTACAACCTATTCAGGCAAATAGGTTGTAAAAAAATGCTTTTAAAAGATTAAAAAAAAAAGGCTCTGACGATCATAGCTGTGGCGCGTGATCATCAGAGCCTTTTTTTACCTTTTAAAAGCATTTTTTAACAACCTATTCGCCCAAATAGGTTGTAGCTTTTAAAAGTTAAAAAAAAGGCTATGAAAATCACAGCTGTGGCGCACGATCGTCAGAACCTTTATTTTACCTTTTAAAAGTGGGAAGTAACAACACGCGGGTGGGCGGGGCCTCACGCCGCCATTGCTACCGGTTCTCTGAGCCACCTGCCCCAATTGTTACCAGATCACCCGATCCAGTCCGAACCGGGAGCATTTCACCCCGGTGCATGTGCTCTCTCTCTCTCTCTCTCCCTCCCCCCTCCCTCCCTCCCTCCCCTCTCTCTCTCTCTCTCTCTCTCTCTCTCTCTCTCTCTCTCTCTCACACACACACACACACACACACACACACACACACACACACACCATCTTTATTTGGGAGAATAAATAATGCATGCCCTTCTAGTTTAAAGCAAGCAGGAACCTTTTTTTCTTATTTTGGTCAGACAGATCTATCAATCTTTTGAAAGACCAATGAACATTGTTTAGAAAAAGTTCTACTAACCTTTCAGAAGACTGTGCTTAAGAGCCCACATATTGTCTGACTGGCATTTTACAAAATGCTAGTTCACCATGGGCAAGTGTCTCCAGGCCTCTGGTCTGTTTGGAGCCCAAGCTAAAAAGGTTGTGGAGGCACTGTGGAGGGAATGGAGGAATCCTTGTGTCCTTGGTCACAGTGCAGGTAGTCCACAGCTTACAACCAGTCACTTAATGATTGTTCAATGTTACGATGAACTTTAAAAAAAAAGTTATTTATTTCAAAATTATGACTGCCATACTACCCCTATGTGTCACTTAGTCACATTTCAGGCCCTTGGAAACCAGTTCACATTTACAACCAGTTGTAGCATCCCACTGTCATATGATCACATTTTGCAATGATTTTTGTAGTTTTCTGGCAAAAAAACTTACTCTACTAGGTAAGCTGGATTCAGACTTATGACTTGGTTTGCTTAACAACCATGGTGACTCACTTAACAAGCACAGTAAAAACACTTGTAAAATCAAGTTCGGTCACATGGTGACTCAACTGCTACAACTTACAACCAAAATTCCAGGGTCAGTTGTGATCATAAGTTGAGGACTACACTCCTATGGCCTACAAAACTTTGCAGGGTGAAAGGGGTCTATGAAAATGTTTTGAGTTTCAAAAAGTAGAATAATAAGAACAAAACGTTCATACATCAAAATTAAATACACTTACGGCATTGTTACCACTTTATTATGCATATACTTGCTGTGATTTATTGATAAGTAAAGGTGCAGGTAATACTTTAATAAACCAGATTATTGTTTTCAGGGGCCTCCCGGGATCTTAATATGGCCCTGGGCCATCCCAGGTAGTGTCAATCATTCAAACACCATGAATGTTGGGAAAAGAGAGAAAGCACTGTTTTATTCTATTGTTTTTCTTCTTTTAGTTGCCATACTTCATGAATGAATTAACACTAACGGAATTGGACATGGGAATTGCACTGCCGAAAATCCTTCAAGCCTATAAACCTACCATTGATTATAAAGGTATTGCGTTGAATTTTAATGTTGTAGGATGCATTAATAATAAAAAAACTATCATGCTGTTACCTAATCATAATGTGCACTCAATGAATATTCTCTAATCCTAACAATCTCTCTTAGACTGCTCTAACATTGTTTTTTTCTGCATCGGACTGCTTCTGGATGCAACATCCAAGCTGCAGCTGCACAGCAGGGAGGATATGATACAGCATAGAGGAACATCTGGTTAAATGTGCTGCACTGGTTAGCAGTAGGCTTCCGAGCCCAGTTCAGAGTGCTCAGGTTATATCTTTAGGTCTACGCAGTGGGGTATTGTGTTATCTCAGGCTCAAATAGCTTTGCTCAAATAGCATGAATAAGGCTTTTGGGGTAACAGCCCCCACTTTATAGAATCTCCTCCCCCTTAGACATAGCCCTAACCCTCCTTGCATTTTGAAAGAAAGGGGGGAAATCCTATTGCACGGTGTCATTCTTACAACCTATGGCTGGGTAGCTTTTATTTTAACGTTGTTGCAGCTTTGTTTTCAATGTTTGCCTTTCCTTTTGGGATTGGGTTGGGTTAGAAATCTCTTTAGTAAATAAATAAATGAGGGAGGAGTGGTGTATATAAATGCTACTTGAATTGATTGCTTCATTGCATAGAGCACGGGTATCAAACTTGTGTCGTCACATCTGCAAACAAACCACTAAGCTCAGAGAGCACCAAGGAAATGGGGACATCTTTCCTAACTATCTGTGGTTTAATAATTTAATTTATTACAACTGCCTATTTTAGAAGACTCTGGGTGACTTACAAAATTTTTAAAAAGCCCAAACAACAAAAAACCACCCAGTAAAAAAAAGGCACACTATTTTTTTTTATTTAGTAACACGATATAAAACATTCAGCTAAAGTACAACTGCTTCTTATTGCCTGATATTGGAAAATTTGGATTTGTCATGAATGAAAATTTTATATCATCCGTGATCTCCTTGAATTATTATTTTTGTTTAATTTCATTACTAAATGAATTTATTAAAAAAGAATTGGTATTTGGAGCTTGCTGACTCACTGATTGCATAAATGAAAGCAACTGAATTTCAGCAACTGAAATCACAGGAAAAATGTATTTGTTGGTTCTTGATCAGTGAATTTATTTTGGAGGAGATTAATCAAATAGGCTCTATTCATGTCTGTTGCTTTATATAAATGCAATATCAAATTGTCAAAACAGCATCTGAGTACAAATGAATGAACTCCGAAGAAGAGAATTGTAATTTGAATGACTCTTTTTTGTTTTCATCCTATCATAGAAATAGAATTCAGTCTGCTCTTATTGCAAGATAGTAGGTTTTTTTAAAAAAGCAACACCATTTTTTCATTGTGAAACAATAGTGTGATATATTTGTAGAATTGGTTCATTCAATTTACTGCAATAGGAATGTTCCAGCCCTTGCAGAACAATTGGTGGCTATTCTTTGACTAGATTGTTACCGAGACACGGCATTGTAAAATAAGGCATGAAAGCAAATTCCAGATCTTTGGTGCTGAAAGATAAATGTACTGGTTAGGATTTCTGAATGGGTATTATTTTCTGCCTCATTCAGTTTCACCCTTTAAAGATTTCGGTACTTTTCTAGTGAGTGAAAAATTCATCTATTTCTCAGGAATTACTCCTCCAAAGAAACTGAAGCTTTGACAAAGATTTCAGAGGCAACCAATATAATATCACATTATAATATCATTAAATAGCTTATTGTCTCCATTAGAGGTGCATTTAAATGAAAAAAGAGGCCACTTACTACTTAGCTCTTTAGAGTTGAAAAGCAATCCTAATTGTGAAATTGCAGCATGTTCAATTTAGGAATACGTTCGTGGGTATATTATAAGCAGCTAAGTGTAAGAGAAAAAATGTGGACTTAGAAGAAGGAAAAAAAGGCGCTGCACTACATTTCATACTAACATACTTTACTGTAATGTTGAGGTAAATGTTTGAGGTATTTGGGGGCAAACACATCTGAGTTTAAGTACACCTGCCCCAGTTTATTATATTCCATGGTTTTTGTGGGACCTTACTTGAGGATTTCTCTTCATTTTACCTCTCAATAATCACCCTAGAAAATAGGCTTGGTGGAGAAAGTGTGTGAATTGACCAATTAAGTAGAGCTGAGAGCAGTGGTGGGATTCAAATTTTTTTACTACTGGTTCTGTGGGCGTGGCTTGGTGGGCGTGGGCAAAGGGTGTGATAGGCAGCACTCGACTTCCTGCACCCCCCGGAAGCAAAAACGGGCTGCAAAGGGGACGCGCTATCCCCCCATGCCCCGTTTTGGGCCTAGTAGACCTCCCTGCAGCCTCCTGGGAGCGAAAACGGGCCACCGGGGAGGCTTGCTGCCCCCCCATGACCCGTTTTGGGCCTAGGAGGCCTCCTTGCTCTTACCTGGGAGCCAAAATGTGTGTGGAGACTCCTGGAAGGGGCGGGGTGGGAAGGGGCGGGGCCAGCCAGCAATTTAACTACCGGTACCCCCAAACTGGCTGAATCCCACCACTGGCCGAGAGACTGTAAGGTACATTTAAAGCTAGGCAGGCACCTTAAGCATTATGCCAATGGCTTCCCTCTGAACCTGTTCATGCATCCATATTTGTTATTCTGTAAAACAAGAATATTAGAAATGTTCCCCATGATAAGGTTTTTTGATAGCCAAAATTGTGACATGAGAATTAAGGGGTAAGTTTTGCACATCCTTACTAAATACGTTTGACTGCAGATATCACATTCCAAAGTGGTCCCTTCCTCAGGGGTTTGGCGTGTTTGATTTGCTCTAAAGGGACAAGCTTCCTCACAACTGATTGTAAATAATACAGTGCAACTGCTCTGAGATGCTGATCCTTTTCATTTCCTGTCTTCTTTAGCGAAATAGGAACAATGTTTTGAGTCTGTGATGTGGCTGTTTTATCTCTCTGCCTCACAGATGCTCTCTAAAGCTTTCCCCTTTATAATTGCAGGATATTATATACAGATCAGAACAGTACAATGACAAACAGTTGCACTCAGGTTATTGCTAGTCTGCCTCAGATAGATGGATGCCGCCCTATGGAATTCAGGGCAGATGACAGGATCCAAATTGCAAGGCTGAAACATTTTCATAGGCGGTGTAGGCAGCCTTCATTTTTTTTCTTACAGTCTTTTTAATTGCCCCTTAAGACTGGTTCATAAGGATATTTATTTGGGGCATTTTTATAGAAAACGGGAAGGCAATATTTGGATGCTTTTAGAACCGTTGAATACAATATTAAAGAGCAAGGATGGGCATTTATAACAAGAGCATTTATTTGATTTGCAGCTTTCAAAGATCATGCTACTTAAATCTGGTGGCCAAATAGTAATTCTTAGCAGTTTTTATTTTTAAACTCTTGTTACAATTTTTGAAAATTTAACTGCCAACAAAGTAAATTTAAACAATCCAAAAACTGTAGCCCTATTGACTCTGATGAAATCATCATATCTCCAATCATAAAGGTAGTCCTCAATTTACGACCATTTGTTCAGTGACCATTCAAAATTACAAGAGTGCTGAAAAGATGGGTGTATGACCTATGTTTGAAGTTACAGTTATTGCAGCACCTCTACAGTCACATAATAAAAATTTGGGCCCTCCGCCCCTCCTTATGACTAACTGCAGGGGCACTGCAACTCTCCACACCTGTCTATCTCTCTACCCAGCCCACCAGCACATGCAAAGCTGCTATGTCATGCAAGCCTTGGTAGTACAGGGGTTTAAGGCACCCTGTTATTAAGCTTATTAAGACCAGTTGCCTGCAATTACTGCAGGGTTCGAATCTCGCCAAGGCTCAAGGTTGACTCAGCCTTCCATCCTTTCTAAGGTAGGTGAAATGAGGACCCAGTTGTGGGGGCAATAAGCTGACTTTGTATAAATATACAAAAGGATGAAGGCTATTGCTGAGCACATTGTAAGCCGCCCTGAGTCTTCGGAGAAGGGCGGCATATAAATCAAATTAAAAAAAAAAAAAAAAAGCCTTTGGCCTCTCCCACATCCCGCTAGGCCGCAGCAGCCATGTGCAGAATGGTGTGAGGCAGCCTCTGTTGGAAGGCTGCATCTCGCATCAGCTGAGTGCACCTGTCAGCATCTGCAGAAAAACCCAAAGATAAGGAGAGCAATTTATTTCCTGAGTGTAATGAAGTGGGGGAGCTGACTGAAAGCTTTTCAGGCCTGGAGGGGCAGAGAGAGGACCCAAGGCCTCCTGGCCTACAACAGCTTTGTCCACGCTACTGTATCTTGTATCTGGCCCAGGCCTTGCAGAACCTCCCCCTCAGGCACCCTATTCTCTGCTTAATGATCCACAGAATCGCTTAACAGCTACAACTTGAGGCGCCAGGATTGCAATCATTGAGTGAAGTATTTGTGTGGGTGCCTTGCTTAATGACCACAATGACTTAGGATCAAAATTTCAGGCTCAATTGTGGTTGTAAGTTGAGGGTTATCTGTATTCCTTTGTAGCACAAAGAGGAAAATTTGATCAGAAGGAGGGGAAAAAACATTAGACAGCCTATTTTTTATGCAAAGATCCTACATATAATATAAATAGTGCTATTCCAGTGTGCAGTGTAGAAATTATTCCACTTCCATTTTTCTGAATAGATTTGCCTCTCATCCACACTGAAATGCAGACATCCAACAGCATGAATGAATGTATGTTTGTGCATATATGTGTTAACTGAGCTCACATTCTATTTGTCTGAATGCTACAAAACATCCTTTCCCCTGTGTTACTTTGGAGGCTCCACTGTCATAAGCTAGCAATCTATGAATTTTATAGTGTATTGTAGGATAAAAATTGGTCATCAGGTTTTCCTAAAATGAAAAAAAAGTGAAAGTGAGTATTCCGTAGCAAGTCTCTTTTTGAGAAAAACATTTTCTAAATCTGCTGACTTATCTAATGAAGTCTTTACATCATGCTTGCCTTTACCGAACAAATTGCTGTTTACATTTATAATAATAGCCTTAACTTCTAAAAAAAAAGGTGGAAATAATCTGAAGGCACCTGTGTAATTTGCAGGCTGTGCCAAATTTTTCTCTGGAAAAACCTTACTTGTTACTTGTTGAAAAATACTTCTTGTTGTTTATATGTAACATAATGTTGTCCCAACAATTCTAGGACTTTGGATTAACCTGGAAATATTGTACAATGGATCTTTTCTGATGACCCTCGAGACAAAGATGAATTTGACCAAACTTGGGAAAGAACCTCTGGGTGAAGCATTAAGATCCGCAGAATTTGGTAAAGAAGGGTAAGGAATATTGTTATCAGTTAAATTTTTATAGAGAAAAAAATTTGTAGGTGCAACATTCTGCATTTATCCATGAAAGAACCCAATGACTTCTTTATAGTAAATAATGTAGGACAGGTAGTCCTCAACTTACAACAGTTCATTTAGTGACCGTTTGAAGTTACAATGGCACTGAAAAAAGTGATTTATGACCATTTTTCAAATTTATGACCGTTGCAGCAACCCCATGATCATGTGATTTACATTTGGATGCTTGACAACTGGCACTGCCTCGTATTTATGACAGTTGCAGTATCCTGGGGTCACGTGATCAGTTTTGCGACCTTCTGACAAGCAAAGTCAATGGGAAAGCCAGATTCACCTAACAACCATGTTTGTCATTTAACAACTGCAGTGATTCACTTAGCAAATATGGCAAGAAAAGTAGAAAAATGGACAAAACTCACTTAACACATTTCTCACTTAGCAACATAAATACTGGGCTCTATTGTCATCGTAAGTCAAGGACTACGTATAATTGTTTATGTGAAAGCTATCGTACACAGTCTAACTCTGTTGCCCCCAAGCTCAAAATGCATTGATGAGCCTTTTGTATATTGTTACTGTTTTATGCTCACAATATGTATTGAGTTATACATTAAAAAGTGGGATTAAAAATATAACTATGGTGGCAGCAGGGAGCAGGTGTCTGCAGAGCTGGTCCAGCAGGATTTGAGCTCCAGCAGTACCTGTCATTGTTGAGCCATTGTGGGCTGTAGCAAAGAGTTCAGTGGCCTATAGCAAGGGTCTCCAACCTTGGCAACTTTTAAGATTTGTGGACTTCAATTCCCAGAATTACTCAGCCAGCTTCACTGGCTGAGGAGCTCTGGGAGTTGAAGTCCACAAGTCTTAAAGTTGCCAAGGTTGGAGACCCCTGGCCTATAGTACATGTTTAAGATCTCTGCCTTAGCCATCCCAGCAAACGGACTCTGAAATATAAATATTTGTGCATATTGGGCAATGTATATACAGACCAATTGAAACTTCAACTAGCCACAAAACACAATTTTTCTTCTCCCTTCCTTCCATTTCCTCATCATCTCATGCTCAAGTCCAGCTTGTGCTTAACTTTGGGTGAGATTTTAAATTCTCAGATGTGTTTGGTTCTCCTGTCAGGCTGTTTGCTGTTTTCCTGCTGAAGGATCCATTTATCAGCCTTGCAGGAAGATGGGCAAACTCCAATAAAGCTGACATACATACAGCTTGCACTAAATGGAAGAAAAGATAATTTTGCTGTTGGCATAACTCCCAAGCTCTTAGGAAAGAAGTATTGCTACAAAATATGACTAAGACTCAAGGCACAGTCATACAACAATCAATGAATGTGTTTACATTCTGTTTTAATAAAAGCTGAAATAAACAGGTTGTATTTATGGATGAATTGTGACTCATTTTTAAATTATTTTTTCTATTGGATCCTTCTCCGTTGATTTCATATTTTCGTTGGCTATCTTACCCTGTTTATGTTGACACTAGATGTAGCCTATTATACCTTTCACATAACTCTGCAATAGTATATATTTTTGCCTCCTTCTTCTCCCAAAATGCTTGACTTCTATGTACATTTTAAAAAATTAAAACTTGTCAGCTATATATTTTAATTTATGTTTTCATAAGCAGTGTACTGTATGTGATACTTTAATAATAGTCTAGATTACACTATATGTCTTAGCAAAATGCACTTTTAAAAAAGGTCAGCTAATTCTGCTTATTTCATGCTGGCCAAATAAAGTGTCTTAATAGAAATTAGCCAGAGATTATTCTATACTGTCACTTCTCTAACTTAACACTTGTTCTTATTTCCCTTTCATTTTCTTTTCTTTTTAATAATATTTGGATTCGTCAATCTGGGATTTTTTTCTGGTGAGTGGTATGTGTCATATCATCCCATTCTGTGTACTGTTGATTCTGTTAGTGCTGAAACATTCAGAAGTGTTGAAAATACTGTACAGTGCTTTTGCTACACAACCTGGGTATGGAGAGGTTAATTCTCTTGATAATTAGCTTTAATGCACATACAATTGCCTTCTCAAATGCTTGATCAAACCTGTATGATTTCCATACTTCATAGCTGAGTGTCCTGGATACTAGTTCTAGCTGGAATCACTGCAACAGCTCCTGAAGTAATAGAGGAAGGGGAGTCTTAAAGGGATACTGTTTCCACAGTTCTTGAAATGTCTGAAGTATGTCTGCCTGTGGGGATATTGAGGGATGGAGAAATGTGCTCTCTAGATTTGGAAGCAAACATCACTTATTCAGGAGTGAAATGCTCCTGGTTCACCCGATCCGGTAGCGATGGAGGCAGGTGGTTCAGAGAACCGGTAGTAAAAATCCCTGCCCCCCATGCACAGCTGAGCCGCACAATCATCAGAGGCTTTTTTTTACTTTTAAAAGCATTTTTTCTACAACCACTTCGGCTGAAAAAATACTTTCAAAAATTAAAAAAAAAGTCTCTGATGATTGAGAGGCTCAGCTGGGATCATCAAAGGCTTTTAAAAGAAAAAAAACCTTTTTTTCTTTTAAATGCCTCTGACGATCCAAGCTGAGTTGCGTGATCGGCAGAGACTTTTTTTCTTTTAAATGCCTCTGGCGATCCAAGCTGAGTTGCCTGATCAGCTGGGATCGTCAGAGCCTTTTGAAAGTATTTTTTTACAACCCCTTTGCTGAAGAGGTTGTAGAAAAAATGGTTTTAAAAGTTTTTTTAAAAAATTGGCCACGCCCACCCAGTCACATTACACCACCACCACCAAGCCACGCCCACAGAACCGGTAATAACAAATTTTAGATTTCACCCCTGCACTTATTACAAGTAGTACTTCTCTAATATTACTGATACTGCTTGAAGACAGTGCAGTTCCAACACTCTAGTTTGTCTAAATATCTACCTTATTCACACCTGCAATGTAAAGCAGTAAGTCTGGAAAGATTGAGCCATGGGTAGAATGATAAGTATGAATGCTTCTAAATTTTGAATTGTTTTTTTAAAAAAGAACAATTTCAGAGCTAGCCTTCTGAATTTTATCTGTAAATAAAATTGTGTGCTATTGCTGAGCACATTGTAAGCCGCCCTGAGTCTTCGGAGAAGGGCGGCATATAAATCAAATTAAAAAAAAAAAAAATGAAGGTGCCCGAAGTGCAAATAATAATGCAGTTTCATTGCTATTCTGGTCTAATATTATTAGAAAATCCTATGAATAGCTCTTTTCTTCATGGTTGGGTGCTTATGGCCAGAGATAGTTAAGTATTTTATCACAGGACACTGCTTTTCCTTCTTTATGGTTTTAAAGAGAAATTTGAACATTTATCAGAAGGCTTGTAGCATTCTGAAGTATTTTTTTTTCTTGCTATTGTAGACTTCATTATAATGAATTAAAAGGTATTTATTTACATTATGACATTTATTTCCTGCCTTTTACTTGGAAGCTCAACATAAAGTATAAAGGGCCTTCTCTGCTGTTGCTCCTGCCCTCTGGAACATCTTGCCCTCCGATGTGAAGTTGGCCCCAACCGTCCTATCTTTTTGTAAGGGCCTAAAGAAATGGCTTTGCCAGTCGGCTTGTGGCCCCAGTGGGAGAAAGGCACAATGGAGTGGTTGATTGAATAATAGCAGATCCCACCCTCCCCATGTGTCTTTGGTTTTAAGGTTTGATTTTAACATTTTATCTTTTAACTAAGATGTAAATGTAAGTCACCCAGAGTTATCATATGGTAAAATGGGCAGCCAATAAATTTTATACATACATACATACATACATACATACATACATACATACATACAGTGCAACAATAACCCTATTGTTAGATTGGGTTGAAAGAGAGAGACCTCTATGGCTGAAGGTGTATTTGAACTTAGCTGTTTGAAGCACAAAATTGAAAGCCAAGGCATTCATTTTATCCTTGGCTTAAAACACAAGATGATAATACAGATTGCCAACGGTCATTACAGAAGTAAAATAATTGGATTGGATTGGTGGTGGACTTCCTACTGTTCTGTAGCAAAAGCGATGACAATGTCATCATTTTAGAAAAAACCACAGAAGCAGTTCCTGAAACTCGAGACTACAGTTACTATTTGCCATGGCTATGACTTCCTATTAAGTCTAATCTAGTGAACAGAAGCCTGTGGAATTCTTTAAAAATGATCAAGAGCTTTGTTCTGGGTGGATTAGAAGATGGCGAGAATGTTGCTCCCCTAATTGAAAGTTGCTGGAGTCTATCATATAAATCTTTCTGGAGAAATTCTGAAGAGTAGGAAAGAAGTATTCATAGCAATCTATAAAAGTTGGCAGGATGATCTAGATTATTTGTTTTCCCAGGTAGTTAAAGGAACATTTGTCAAATTGTGCAAGATACAGAAATTTGAGTTAATTTCTAAGACAAGGGAAGCTAATGATGACATGTCTAACCTTATCATTATCCTCATGCTGTAACAAATCAGACATTGGGATGCAAATACAGTGGTACTTCGGTACTCATAGTTAAATTATTCCAGGAGGTGTGATGAGTACCAAAATCAATGAGTACCAAACAAATTTTTCCCATAATATAGGGATAATATAGTGAGTCACAAAGCAGCCAACACCGACAAGTTCTAGCTTGTGCATTGAGTACCAAACAAACAATGAGTACAGGGACAAAACACAAAAGTTTCATGTCAAAATGTGTCGAGGACCAAATCCGATGAGTTTCAAAGCAGTTGAGTACCAAGGTACCATTGTACTTAATGGCACCATTTGAGTGGTGGTTACCATGTGTATGTCTATCATTTCATGTTAGCATGGTTTGCTGTGGAGTGATTGAGTTTTTGATCATATAATTTTTGTGTGAAACACTTGCTGATCAGATTGCTATAGAACTTTTGGAGAAATGGTGCAATACAGAAAATAGTTGGTCTTATGCTTCTCTTCTCTAGGACTTCCAGAGAGTTAGGGTTAGGATTATTGTCATCTTATTACAATGACGATTTTAATTTTTCCTTTGATGAGCATTTGTAGGCTTCTGACCTCCCCAAATATTATCAAAGTCATCTTTCCATTTACTGTTCCAGAATCACACTCCAATCTTTGGGCTCTTAGGAATCAGTTTCCTCTTGTGACAGTTTGACTACTTTTAAGGGGGGGGAATTAAAGACCTTTGTATTTTATGTGGTTGTTGCATTTCTTTTAATTCTAAAACTTTGGCTTGTTAAACTGTGAACTAATTTTACTGAATAGAATTTTCTGACCTGTTTTTCTTTTGGTCTGGGATGCACCTTGATAAAGGATTGTAAATTGTTATTGGGGTGTGGTGTGAGGGAAGAAAAAGAAAAGGAGATTCTCTGTTCATAACACTGAAACATAAAGCAAACAAAAAGTGACTGTTTATTCCTGGGGACTGGTACAAGAGGCTACATACATGTTATGTACAATACATAACAACAAAACATTAATTAAAACAGTAAACTTATTTTAGGAGAGATCCGTGGGTGGGTGGAGAGCCTCTTAAATTACTTCTTTAATGTTATCTACTTCAAACTGTTCCTCTTTCCACTTTTATCCAGAAAGGTTCCCAATCAACCCAAAGGGAAACTATCTTGGGGAATTATGGGTGACAAAAGAGATTATTGGCAAGAAAAAGTTTAACGATCTCTTGAACAATCTTTATCTTTACTCTGTAGCAGGGGTGAAATCCAGCAGGTTCTGACAGGTTCTGGAGAACCGGTAGCGGAAATTTTGAGTAGTTCAGAGATCCAGCAAATACCATCTCTGGCTGGCCCCAGAGTGGGGTGGGAATGGAGATTTTGCAGTATCCTTCTCCTGGAGTGGGGTGGGAATGGAGCTTTTGCAATATCCTTCTCCTGTCACACCCACCAAGCCACCCACATCCACCAAGCCACGTCCACAGAACCGGTAGTAAAAAAATTTGGATTTCACCACTGCTCTGTAGTGATTGAATTTTTAAAGAGCTGTTCCTTTTTTTCTTAAAAAAAAGTCAGATAATTATGTGGTGCATTTTGCAGTCAGCTAATAGATAGGCAGTTGCACAGATTTTGCAAAAGTACTGTCTTTATTACACACAAGGGAAATAAGTCCTTTCTCAGCTGGGAAGTAGCTTGAGGTTGTTGCCAAATCAAATTTGGCTAAAGGCATTGGTCTTCTTTCTAACTTTGCCACCTACTTAACCTAGGTTTAAAGAACAATCTCTTGAGAACTGATTGTGAATAGATTTCAATCCCAGGAAAAGCTGTGGATGAAATGTAGAGGTGCTGAGCATTTCTCTCCTTAAATCACAATTCACAATTAAGACACAATTAACTGGACATTCTTTTTAAAGACAGTTTGAAATGCAAGAGGTCCTGCAAAGATGCTCCAAGCTTTATGGAAACTCTTTCTTAGCATGCCAGGCACACTTTGCATCTGAGGCTGTAACTTGTCTTTTGCATTTATTTGCCAAATGTCTTTTTTAAAATATTTCTGATTCCATTACTGCTAGCAGCCTAGAGCAGGGTGCGGCTAGGACTCAGCTGTGGTGTTGGGATAATGGGCTAGGCATGTATGTGTGGAAGAGACAGTGGAAGGAATATATATTCTTCTGGAAGCATGCAGCACTTACAAAATCAATTCTGACTTTTCATATAGCAATTCATTTGGACCATAGAAGCATATCCCATTACGTTTAAAAAATGAAAGTACATGCCAAGTTTCTCATCATCATCTTAATGTTATAATTGCCGGCATTGTATTCCATTATATTGGAAAGTTAGATATGAAAGAGACACATCCTTATATGTCTTTAATTTATTTGACATTTCATTCTACCGCATGTAGGATATTCAAATCCGTTTCCTTTTATTTTAAGCAAAGTCTGGCACAGTTGTGTTCAGGGAAAGCAGATTGATATACAACATTTCTAACCTTTGTCTGAACTCCAGTGCACTTAAAAACAAACTGGGGAGACAGAAGTGAATAGTAGAAAGTCTCTAATTGCCATCAAAACATTGTCCTGACCAACATTAATGAAGTGTTGCTTCTGTCTTGACCTGTGTCCCTCCTTTCAGTTTCAGGCCAAGGGCATATTGCCTAGCAGACAGTGATGAAGAATCTTCTAGTGCAGGATCCTCAGAGGAAGATGATGTTCCAGAAGCATCAGGAAGCGAAAAGACTTTAGTGGCAGGAGCAGAAGGGTGAGTCTTTTTGCCTTTAGGCAGCCGTTGGTTCAGTTTATCTCTGCCTGTTGTGTGCATTATCAACAGTGGTGCATCTTTCTTCCATGCTTAGTCATTCCATCAAAGGTATCTTCTCTGTCTGTCTTTAACATTAAAAAAAATCTAGTTTTATCTGTGTGTGTGTGTGTCTCTCTCTCTCTCTCTCTGTGTATGTGTGTGTGTGTGTGTGTGTGTGTATACAAACAGGCACACACATATACCAAATGGTTATATTATTTCACAGTAAGTTTTTGTAATACTGTGTTTCCCTGAAACTAAGACCTCTCCAGATAATAATTCCAATCAGGCTTTTCAGCGCATGTGATAAAATAAGCCCCCCACCAAAATAAGCCCCCCACCAACTATTACACGCATGTACAGCCAGTCTCGCCATTTCCTCTGGTTCCTTGCCACGCAAACAACATGATGTGAGGAGACGAGGCTGGAGGGAAGGGAAGGGGGGGACACGCCCTCCCCTACCTGTTCTTTGCGCCAGCTGAGTGGCCCAACATGTCCCACCCCACCCCAATGGCAATCTGGCGAGAAGTTTTCTTTTACAGTGTGTTTCCCTGGAGACAACGGTGAGGAACGCGATGGAGCTTGAAAGGTAAGACCTGCGTCCCGCTTCTCGCCGGCCCCACCTGCCACCCCCAAATTGCATCCCTAAAGGGGCAGGTGGCTAAGTGAGAGGCAGGAACCCTGCCATGCCTGGCGAGGGGTGGGGGAGAAGAGATGGCAAGGGGAGACATGTCTCGCTCCACGTGTCTCGCTTCTCCCCCGCCCCACCTGCCACCCCTCTAAAGAGACGGCGGGGAAGGGAAGCAGCTGTTGCCATTGGGGTGGGGTGGGACATGTTGGGCCGCTTGGCTGGAGGGAAGAACAGGGAGGGGAGGGGACAGCAGCAATGAGACATCCAGTCCCATACTCACCGCCTCCTGCACCCCCAAAATAATAAGACTCCCGCCCCCGATAATAAGGCCAAGCCCTTACTTGTGGGGGGGTGTCAAAAGAAAATAAGACCCTGTCTTATTTTCGGGGAAACACGGTACTTGGAATCAAAGGCAAAAGGTATTTTGGAATATATAGAAATGATAATATATTTCCTATCCGCAATTCCTTAAAACACTTACATTTTTTCCTTGGGTTGCACAATTCTACCCCGTAGCTGCAATGCAACTCTAGGAAAAGACATTAGGAATTGCCTTGCGAGGGTTGAACCTGCATATACAATAAAAATGTCACAAGAAGGCCCATATACAGTTCTTACTCTATTTGAAGCGAGGAGAACATGGGCCAGACAGCAGGGCTCTCTCGGTTGTGGCCTCTGCACTTTGAAATTCCCTGCCTTTGAAGATTTGAGTAGCCCCGCATCCTGACACTTTGTGAAGCCGTTAAAACAATGTCCCTTTGCTTTGTACCAGGATGGAATGTTTCTGTGGGCCATGGGCAGGATTCCTATTGATTGCAATACTTTTTCTTTTCATTTTGTATTTTAAATTTTGTACAGATAATCCAGACTCACCACATTAGGGCATTTTACAAAAACTGAGAAGTCAGTCAATAATAGCAACACAATTGGTTTAAGGAGTTGCAGAGATGTGTTATGTGCTTGCCTCAAATGCTCTGAAAATATTATACAATGTCTCAAATTAAATTTGATCTATATTGGACCGTGATGGCGAACCTATGGCATGCGTGCCGGAAGTGGCGTGCAGAGCCATCTCTCTGGGCATGCCAGCTATTGCCCGTTTGCTCTTCCAGGTTCTGGCATGCACGTGTGCTGGCCAGCTGGACTTTGCACGTTAATGCATGCCAGAAACCGGAAGACCAGGTGACCAGTACGCATGCACACGCCAGAAACCAGAAGCTCAGCTTTCCGACACATGCATGCGTGCCATAAAACTGCTCTTCCAGTTTCCAGCGCTTCTGTGTGTGCGCACTGGGGAGCTGCTCTTCCGGTTTCCGGTGCTCCCACGCTCACACGCACATACTCCCATTTCAGCACTCGGTGCTGAAAAGGTTCACCAACAGTGATATAGGATATTTAAGCTAAGAGTTAACTCTATAAATGTTTCAATGCTTCCAGTCTGTATATATCATTTTAATGCTTTTGGTAATTCAGTTTTCAGAGTGCCAATTTTACTGGCCATATCATCTGGAAATAATTAGATACTTCTTATTACAGTAATCCAAATGGCCTTATCTCATTGGGTAATTCTTAATTATATTTGCTAGTTAGTAGAAAAAAATTATAAGGGATATGAGGCAGCCCTGTTTTTTCCATGTGTGGTATTTATAAATGTACAAGTCATGATGTAAATTATCTGGTTTTGCAGATGGCTGTTTACTGCAGTTATTGGATAAAAGATTTAGGATGAATTAGGTCTAAGAAAGAATTATCTTCATGCTAGCATTTTCGTGTATATAGCTGCTTATTTTACAGTAAACAAATTCAGTATGTAAGAACACCAGCTTGTATATTTCAAGTGCTACCAAAAAAGGAGAATAGTATGAGGTGAATGAAATATAGTTCTTTAATCAAAAATAAATGTTTCATGGATTTTTCTGAATTGCTGGTTGGCTAGCTGATGTCTGAAAATATCTGTATGTTAGTGCAAACAAACATTTATATAACAGACATTGAAATGTTTCTTTGGACTAGCATATAGATCAATGAAGCTTCTTAGCAAGACTGTAAATAATTTAGCAACTGTAACAGATGATCGAACTTGCAGAAATAATTATTTTCCTGTAGCTATTTTTAAAAGTCTTTACTTGAGAGAAAGATCATTCTGCTTTATCTGTTGCAGAAAAAAAGATCCTTTCCCCCCCTCCCCATTTCAGCAGAGAGTATTTGCTGCTGCTGCTATTTAATAATAGGGTAGTAATAATAATAGTTGATTATTGCCAGTCAACTGCAGATCATCCAAAGATTAATCAATAGACCTTAAAGTAGACCTTTGGTTGCATAGATTATGCTTAGGAGCATTGTCAAATTTCTAGCAGGTATAGCTTATTTATAATCTTTCTTTTTATTTTTGTATATTTAATATTTATATTCCCCAGCTCCTGCCAACATAGCAGTTTGAAAGCATACCAATGCGAGTAGATAAATAGGTACCACTTTGGTGGGAAGGTAACAGGGCTCCGTGACAGCATTCTGGCCACATGACCACAGTAATGTCTTCGGACAGCGTTGGCTCAATGGTCTTGAAATGGACATGATCACTGACCCCTATAGTCGGAGACAACTATTTGAGTAAAGTCCCCGGGGGCTCCTTTTTTTAACATTTATATTCTGCATTTCTAATCTACTGGAATACATGCCAAGTAATAATCAAACGTAAACGTGCAGCAAAACCGTAACATAAGTGGAGAACAATAAAGCTATAAGGAAAAATCCAGAATCCATTAATTTGTACATTCTCTTGCTAAATCCTTGAATTTGCAGTTTGGGGTTGAAAGGTCCATTGCAGCCAGGTAAACCACCTGTTTGGCCAAAGCTCTCAAACATTTAGGAGAATCTCCAGTAGAATGTAGGGCTATCCAAGAGTAATAGTGAACATTGGGCCAACAACGCTTCACCAGAATCTTTACCGTGTGAGTAGATAACATCTGATTTTAAATTAGTTCTGCTTCTGAGTTGTCACAGCCAGGTATCTGGATCTTTCCATTTTTATTCACGAAAATTATAAGTCTGGGCTGTCTGTACACTTACACAACACTTCACAATCTGTAGTAGCAGATTGGCATCCTGTGCCTTTAACATGTTGTATTTTCAGCTGCAGAATACCACAAAGCATTAGCCTTTACTTTTTAAAGGGTAGCTGAAACTCACTTAAATGACTTCCTCTTCTTTCCTCCCTTAAAGGTATGGATCAGGGCACCGAGCAAGTAAAATAATGAGATTTGTGGATAAAATTACCAAGTCAAAATATTTCCAGAAAGCGACCGAGACAGAATTTATTAAGAAAAAGATTGAGGAAGTCTCCAATACACCGCTTCTGCTCACCGTTGAGGTTCAAGAGTGTAAAGGGATGTTAGTAATTAACATTCCGCCCCCACCTACTGATCGTATATGGTAAGTGTAGTTAATAAGACTTTATGATTTTGGAATCTGTCATGTATAATATGGCACTCAAACTAATCAAAGAGCCAAAATAGATTTCTTGTTTTTATGAGTGGCTGTGAAAGAAGTCCCTAAAATATATTTTATTTTCCAGTCCCCTAATTTCCCACTTTTTCTCAAACACATCCAAGATAAAAAAGCTGGACCATTTGACTAATGAACTATAAAGAATAATGCAGCAGAAATGTAGTTTGAGTTCCTATAGAACCAAAGTTGGTCTGCAGCGTGTGATCATTCTTACAGAATTTAACAAGTATTCACATGATTCTTAGTAAGGTTCCTTTTTTGAAAATTGCAGTACCAATCTCTGAGTCATAAGCTACAGTCTGACATGTACCATTTTATTCAGGGTTAAATGAGTTAATTCTGAGACAAAGTGTGTGGGATTTTTCCATTAATTCCTATGAACAGTTACTAACAAAGATAATGGAACTGGGTGTTATTTTAAATTGCTCATGTGATTGAATTACTCTTCTATCCAAAAAGAGATCTTTTGTAAAAATGTATAATTCCATTTCTTATTATGCATTTTGTAAACTTCCAGAAACTGAAAAGCTAACAAAGCTTAGAAATTTTATCATCCATGAATAAAAGCTACAGCAACCAGAAATCAGGTCAAAAAGAAAGATTACTACTTGTTCTTTCTTTTCTCCTACTTTTCTCTTCCTTTAATATAGAATAATACAGAAGCATGCTGGGTAAAACAGCATATTGAACTACTTGAGGATCAACAGAGGTATTAATTAAGAGGTCAATGCCAAAGCTTTTTCCAGTGGTTTCTTATAACTGAAAATAGTACCAAAGGAGAAAAACTATTTCAGTGCTTCTTTTTATCTGAAAGAAATATGGAATGAAATTGTGAATGAAATTTTGTTTTTATTTATCTGGGAATGTTTCACTGAACATTTTTATCTTGCCTTTTTATCTGGGAGGTTCAAAAGCAGTTTATATTGGGGTTCCCATAATTTTATTCTCACAACCCCTCAGTGAGATCCATATTCAGTGAGGAATTGAAGTTGTGCCTTCTCAGTCCAATATCTTCACCATTGGCTACCTTAATCGAGATGGGATTCCATTTGAGGAAATTAACCTCTGGGAGGTGCACAATGTAATTCAGAAAACTCAGTCCAATACATAATTACTTTAAACTGTATTGGGAAAAGGATTAATGACAAGTGACAGGCAAATCTGGCCCTAGGTTCTGCCTCGGTTTACCTTCCCAATAAGCAACTGAATTGGAAGATCATTTAAAAGCAATTTATTAGGATACCCTGATAAAGTGAGATCTCACTATGAAAAGGGAGAACCCCGAGACCCATCTTACATTCCCTTTTATAGTTAACATAAGAAAGAAATGCAAGAGGAAAGTTGATTGGACAGGATAAAAGTAACCTCTCCTTTGCAGAGTAAATCAACTACAAAAGTTGTTTGAAACTCACAAAGAGACATACCAGACACCAGTTTTGCACTAACAAACTTTTTCTTATCAGGAAATAATATCATTCATTCTTTAGTTTTCTTTTCAGTTTAGGAATGTTAGAAGCTATCCATCAATCTATACAGCGATAGGATAAAAAGTTTTCCTACATTCCAGTCTATAGTGGTTTGATAAATCCTCATAAAAGACAGAAATAAGTTAAAATACAAAGTAACTATGTTAGTGAACAAGTTACAAAATCCATGTCATGTGCCCCTCAAAAGTAAGAATGTAAGAAGTTGCTGATTTGATTTCTCACTGTGGTCATTCTTGAGAGAATCATAGTACCTATTGCTAGATCATTAGGACTTAATTTCAGTTATAAGTCAGATGAATAAAAATTTTCAGACATAAAGTCCTTCACTAATTAGTATTAACTGGGTACTAGACTTGAGCAGTAACATTGATTGTTAATATATATCGATTTCAAAATGACATATTGTGAATTGGACACATCTGTTTACAGAGTACATAGAAGAAACAAAACTACACCCCTGAACTGGAGGGGGAAATGAGACTATTTTTAATGTTGAGATATGTACTCATTTGAAATAAATATTTTGTTGGACACAATAGTTTAGTCCTGCACAGCATACGACCTGCAGGCTGCATGCAGTCTACCAAGCAAGCTGAAGTTTTTTAAAACAGTAATAAATTCACGATTGTCCCAAAAGTTGCATTGCTAAGCATCTCCAAGACTCACCATTGCTGCCAGCTTCAGTCCCACTGGCACTCTACTTGCTGCCAAATAGCTGATTGGTATGCCAAATATTCCTTTGCAGCCCACAGTTATTTTTAATTTATCAGTGACCTTTTTCCCTCTGTGCCTTGTGCAGGCCTGGTTTACAGCATCCAATCCTCCTCCAAGCACAAAATCCTTGAACATAAACCGCAAATGCACAAGATTAGGTTATATGAGGTAGTATAGCCTTCCCTGATTTAGAGTGCTTCAGATGTTTGGGAACACAAGTCCCAGAATCCACAGCCAGCAAGATTAGGGTTGGGAAGCATGGTGTGGACACCATGCTTAGGTTAAAATTTCTGTTTGTCCAGAATATCCCAGGACGGCTTTGGTTAAGCATGTCTCATTTTAGCTGAGCATGGGTTATATTCTCCTGGAGGCCTTTGAGAAAATATGGGATACAAATCTGAGATAGAAACATCTTAACTTGGATCATTTTTTTAATCTTCAGGTACGGTTTCCGAAGACCCCCTTATCTGGAGCTAAAAGCTCGGCCAAAGCTTGGTGAAAGAGAAGTTACTTTGGTTCATGTAACTGAGTGGATAGAGAAGAAACTAGAACAAGAATTTCAGGTACTTCAAATATCATTAGCATTAAAAGAATAAGTAAGACATTAGCTAAGACTCTGTAAGCTTAAAGATGGTGGCATGTATCTCAGATGAAAAAGCACACAGTCACGCTGAATGGCTACATATTGGTATAACACAAATCATTGCTTCTGAGAATTTCAGATTCTTAGTTTGATAACACATATAGGAACATACTGCAGTAGCCATAAAATTACTTAAGAATAGGTGTTGGGACACACTGTACTCCTTCTGGGCTTAACAGACACTGCATGATCCCAGCAAAAGATGTACAGGTAGTCCTCGATTTACAATCACAATCAAACCCCAAATTTTTGTTGCTAGGCAAGACAATTAAGTGAGTTTTGCTCCATTTTACAACCTTTCGTGCCACTGTGGTTAAGTGAATCATTGCAATTGTTAAATTAGTAACAAGGTTTTTAAGAGCCTTGGTAGTACAGTGGTCTAAAGCACCCTGTTATTAAGACCAGCTGCCTGCAATTACTGCAGGTTCGAATCTCGCCAGGCTCAAGGTTGACTCAGCCTTCCATCCTTTCTAAAGTAGGTAAATTGAGGACCCAGTTGTGGGGGCAATAAGCTGACTTTGTATAAATATACAAAAAGGATGAAGGCTATTGCTGAGCACATTGTAAGCCGCCCTGAGTCTCCGGAGAAGAGTGGCATATAAATCAAATAAAAAAAAAAAAAGTGAATTTGGCTTCCCCATTGACTTTGCTTGTCAGAAGATCACAAAAGATGACCACATGACCACTGGACACCATAACCATCATAAATATATACCACTTGTCAAGCCTCCAAATTTTGATCACGTGACTATGGGGATGCTGCAAGGGTTGTGTGAAAAATGGTCATAAGTCACTTTTTTCAGTTCCATAACTTTAAACAGTCACTAAACAAACAGTTCCTGGTGGAGGACTATCTGAAATGAGGCACCAAGTGAGATCACTGTTATCCTGAAATACTGTCTTAGGACCTGAAGTGTGCCATATCCACACTAAAATACCTTCTGTGCCCATATTTTTAAAAGTAGGAGCATAGTGCCTGATTTTAATTTCCTTTAAGAGATACCAAATAATTAGAAGGAATATTATTATGGATAATCTCATGAAGAAAGACTGATTTTAGCATGGGACAAATAGTTTGAATAAATTGTTGCTCATACTTTTCTATTGTTTATATTTCTAGAATTTTGTTCATCATGAATTTATTGAACTGTTAAATATATCTATTCAAATTTCTAGCTATTTCCTTTAAAAAAATTGGAATGATGGGGGCAAGGAGCAATAGCTGATAGGAGTCAAGTGTTTAAAAAAAATGTTTGCTGAAATGTAATGGAATTAAGATTTTGTAAACTGTAAAAAGCAATGTTGCTTTAATTTCCATGATGACTCTTTTCCAAATCTAATCTTAAGGTAGATAGATGTTTACTAGTGATCCACGATGTTACTCGATTCAAATAAATTCTGTTTAGAATTCTACTTGGCCTGATGGGAGAGTCCAATATAAGAGTTTGATATATTTAATTTTTCGACTTTGAATTTTGAATTGCATTCTAACTCAATTATTATACCTTGCAGAAAATTTTTGTCATGCCAAACATGGACGATCTTTATATTCCTCTAATGCACTCAATCATGGACCCCCGCTCATCTATGTGCACTTCAAAAGTTACTGAAGATACCGAATTGGAACAGCCATGAAACGTAAAGACTGCAGTTTACAGTATTAACAGATGTCGTTTTCATGTTCTCTTTCAAATGAAACAGTCTAGCTGATTTTTGTCCTTGTGCCATGTTTTATTTTTTTAAAGATAAGATCGCTTCTGCCAATAATTGCTCCAGTTATGGCTCTCTATTGACTTTAGAGCATTAGTTCCATTTCTGCTAGGCTTTAAAACCTAGTTGTTAATATGCACTCTTCTGCAGTAAACTAGGGGAAAAAATCCAACTAGCAGCAATTGATCCAACAGATTTGATCCACATGGGAGTACTTTATGGATGTGCAGTAATTCAGGATACACACTGAACACTGACAGTTTATCTCATCCAGTCATATGGAACTTGTTTTCAGTAAGGCACAAAGATGTCTAACTGGAAGACTTTCTCCTCTCAAGCAGCTGGAAATACAAATGGAAGTGGCATGTTCTTCACTCCTGCAGTCCCAATAGCTTGTGTCAAGCAAATTTGAAGTGGTTTCTGGAGCTAAGAATGTACATTGGATGTATAGGTGATATTGTCAATCCATGTAGATTATGCATAGCAACTTATTTTTTTCATATGAAATTGAGTTTCTTGGAAACAAGTAGCCATATAAAACATGCAAACATACAGAATTGGTTTTAAGGGATCTTGTGATTCTTTAGAAAAAAAAATTAAGACAAAGCCATGAGACCAAACTACAGTAAGCCTTCTAGTTAGTGCGTTACAATTGCAGAACTTGTGGTTGATGGCTCTCGGAGTTGACTATACATGGAAATGTCCAAGGCCATGCATGTACTCATCAGAAATGATTGCATGGAAGGAGCCATTCACTTTCATCAACCAGAATGTTCACAGCTGTTTTTGTTCCCAACTATGTAGTGGATCCTCTTTTATCCATTTAAGGAGGTGCAAATCCTGATTACAGCTTTTTTTTTTTTTTTTGGTCAACGTAGCTAAAGCACCTTGTAGGCTGGCTTGGTATTCCTGTATGAAAGTAACAACTCCAAAGCACTACAAGTGAGAATGGCCAAGAGAACACTGCCTTGCTGTTCCTTTTCTGTATGGACTAAACACAGAATACTGAATCTAACTCTTTTGAACACTACATAAGCAATGAGTGTTTCTTGATACTCAGTATTGCCAACTACTTATGTTGAAAGAATGTTAATTTAGTTTACAAAGGAAGCAAGTGAGCTATGGAGTTCACTCTTTGATAGTGTACTAGGCTTTACATATTTCTAAGATCTTTTTTGTATGTTGTGTTAGGTTCCTGCGTCCAAATTTCTCATGATTTGCAATCTCCAAATGAAGCTAATTGAAGTTGTTTTTTAAAAGCACCTTGCCTGAAACATATTTAAAATTTAGCATTTAATATATTGACATAATCATATTATTTGGACAACTATTTTGTTACCTCAACTCTGGGACCATTCCATTTTATGTACTATTCTTCTCATCTCTTAATGAAAGCATTTGCCTTCTTAAATCTGCATGTCTTATTCACAGCTCTTTTCCCCCCTCTGTGCAATAAGTCAAAATACTAGATGCACAAATATGTAATCAAGTTTAACCAGGTTTGGCACAAGTAAATTCACTGCACTTCGTAATCAGACTGTATGGGTTACTAGTGGGCTTGCTTTTTTTCAAATAAATTTATCCCATGTCAAAAATCTGTTTGATGCTTGGTGGGGTAGAAGTGTGAGTGCATATCCAGGAATATAGCACTCGTAGAGTTCAATGAGACTGAAATACTGAAAAATTTACCAAATCGTATTCTACATTTCTTCTGAATGTTTCAGCTCTTATATCCAGTACTCATGAAAGATTTATTTTCTGTGGGAGCAGTCAGGCAAAATAGATCATGCCTCATGGCACTTGGAGCCTGCCAGTCCTCTAAGCCAAGAGTACCCAAGATTCTTTGGGGATTGAACCAGAGCATAAAAAACTCTAGAATTTAAATAATATACAATTCTTCAGGATTTAATTTACATTCCTACAGGATGCCTCCTGAATCTTGCTCCAAATAGAAGGCCTGGGGAGATTTTGGTTTTTTTGGTACAGTATTGTAAATTTTCCTTTTCCATTTGTAAAGCAAGGTTTAGGAGATGCAGTCCATTTTCACTCACAAGTCTTATTTTCTAAATAACAGGATTAGCTTCCCAGATAGGAAGACTTGTAATCTATCCAACAGCCCTTACGTTTTTTTTTCTCTGTATTAATGCATCACTCTGACCTAAAATATAGTTCGATATTACAGCTGTGCAAACTATTGATCAAATGTTTCAGGAAATTTCTGCAAAATTGCTGCTCAATAAATAGAACTTATTTGTATCTCTTGGTCAGCTGCCTCAAGAGATGCACCTATGTTCCTTTACAGTCATCATCTCAACAGGATGTAAAATAAGGTTGTGTCAGAGACCAGACACACAACAAAGGGTTCAGGCCTTTTCCCTAAATAACCAGATACTAGGAACTACATGGGAGAGACTATCTGCTTATCACATTAAACCAGAGGCCATGGTTTAACACCACAAACCTAAGTCAAATCCAGTTTCCAGTCACAAGAACCTAGGCTGGGTTGCATTACAATCACATCATACTAATTTAACCAGCACCAATTTATTTGATAGCATTATTAAAGTTTTGCCCAGATCTTGCAAGAGATCTAGATACAATTATATTTGTGTAAGGGGTTCCCAGAGATGTAAAAATTTTGAGGGTTCCTCCAGGTTAAAAAAAAAGGTTGAGAGTCTGCTCTGTAGAACTTTTAACTCTTCTCCAAAAGAAAATTTTATCCAGGAATAGATCAATTCACCATCCTTGAAATATTGGCAAAACCTAATTTCAAGTTACACATTCAACATGTTGCACTTTTAATAAGCTTGAGTTGCTTATCTCATTACTATCCTCAGCATTAAAGATGTGATTGGTTAACAAGTTGTATGTTACACACACTCTTGAATGGTTCTTTGCAAAGAACTCTTTGGTTGTGGTTAAGATTTATCCATACCATAAAGTTGTGGCTAAATCAGAGGGTTGTATTTTTGTTTATTCTAACACTTGTTTCCACTGAAGTTGTGTCCTAAGGAGCATGGAAGGAAATAAGCAGTGGAGCACCCTATCTCAACTGCTGGCTTTTCTTGGATATTCCACTAGCATGCCAAAGGTATGTCCCATATAGCAGTGTCCACCCTCCATATATAATCTTTAGTCCAGTTTTCTATTTGTGCTTGTATAGCATGAATAATGTGCACTTTGTTAGTTTGTGTGCTACAATTCTACCAAATGTCCAGAGTAGACTTTTAAAACCTGAAACATCTTGAACGGCAAAGGACAGTTATCCTTCTAATAGCAGGTAGTTTAATAGGAAGCAATCAGTTGGGTGGGAATGTGCTTTTTGATGAAATATGACCCCAATGAGATTGCACTGAGCTGCAGTACATTATAGCTTGTATGAGTGGGGTTTTGCACACTACTTTTGCCTGATGCTAGGTTGTTTATTATAATCTTTGAAAATGGGATTATGCAAAGACTGTCAGGTAATAAGAGCCAATCTTTCCCCATTTAATTCATGTTATCTTCAGATATTGTAGCGAACAAGATAAAATTGAAGCACTGCTACATAATACTCTTCCCAGATGATCAAGCCTCTGAACCGTCACTGTAGTTATTTGAGGAACTTACATATTTTAACATTAAGCATGAGATGGATTGTAACTTGTCTTTAAAAGAATCACTCAGGTTTAAGCTGAGCAACACCAGTTATAAGCAAGCTTTTTATTTTTGCACTGCAGCGTAACCAATGAGACCATGAATGGGCCATGCACCAGTTCAAAGGCAGTGCTTCAAACCTATCTGAAAAAAATATCCAAAATAAACGGTTTTTAAATTTTTAAATTTATTTATTTACAACATTCAAGACATCCCCACATTACAGCCCTCTTTGTGTTGCTTGGTTCAACAAGTGACAGTTGGTTCCAGAGGTTTTCATTCAGCATCAAGACAATTTTGGCACACCTATAGTTAAAAAAAAGCAGGATTCAGGATAGTGATTTAAGAATACTTGAGATACCTTTGCTCAGATCTAGAGAGATTAGTTTTATGCCTTTTTAAAACAAGAACATACCACTGAACATTAAGAGCTAGGGTGCCACCTGGGCAACTGATGCTGGTGGCTCAGATACAGTGTCTCTTCATCTGCATCAGCAGTCTAACACGCCAAAAATATCATCACAGCAGCCAGCATAGGGTTCCCAATTTAGATCACTCAAAAGCAGGATTACAAGGAGATGCCGATATATCCCTCTCCTACTGCAGTTCTTTGGAGATGCTAACAATGTAGAAGAAACCTTTGGAGTCTTCAGGACTAATCAAGTCCATATCAGACATGTCACCCATGAATTTCTTCACTCCTTTTAACAACATTCATAGTAGCCATCACTCTTGTGCTCATAAATTTCAGGGTGGAAAACTTTTTTGTTGTCGTCGTTGCTCTAAAGCGCCTTCTCTGCAGGACCACTGGCACTTTTCACATTTGAGGGAGGAAGAAGTCCCTCCCCCACTTTCCAACTCAGCACACTGTTATCATAAACTAGAATTAAGTTCTAACCTTTTTTTTTAATGGCAAGTGAGCCATTCCCTATTCACCAATTCCAACTTCTTTTTCAAACATGTGCACTAGAAAGCATTAAGTAAGTCAGGGGTGCAACACATCTGAAAGCACAAAGGGGGGAGGGAGGTCCTTTGGCATCATATTCCAAAGCTCACAAATCTACCTCTGGAATCAAGCAATATACTGGATCTCCCTCGAGTCCTTGCAAAAGCAAACTATAATCTACTGCCCAATTATTACCCCAGCAAAGGCTCGACCATAGAGGGGAAATGCCACCTCCACACTATACCTTAAGAAGCCCCAAAGTCTCCCTTTTTCACCGACTGAGACGTACCAAGGACAAGGCATTCAAGGGCACTTAAGCACATCCAACTCTCAACCACGATTCTCCATTGGTTGGGCTCAATTCTCATCACGCAATGCATTCTCCACTTATCTTCTCGGTTTATTAGTTCCACGTGACGTTTCGTAAAACGGCTCTAAAAGCCAGTAATTGCCGTCGTGAGTTACCCACCCCTTAAGCTAAGTCTACCAGTGCAAGCTAGTTAAGACAAAAATCCCCAAAATCGAAGAGCAGCGAGGCACGACACGATCAAATACATGACAAACGCGTCTGCTCAAATCCCAGGCCTTTTTATTCTAAAATAAGCTCTGGGTCAAGAACATTTGCCAGGCTTCATTCGCAAATCAGGACTACTGCCCATCCGTTAGGCTGCAAAAATCCCAACGACCGTTAGATGGCAACGAAGAAACATTCCGTTAAAAAAAAAAAAGCTGCAAACGTTTTGCCACTTCACGATCGTTCGGATCACTGCGGCGCACCACAGATAAAGCAGAGGCCATCGTTTCTTTCCTAGCGACTACACCTCCCAAAAGCAAAGGTCGCAAGCACACACCTCCCACGCCTTCCATCCCACGACGAAAAGGCCGAATACGAGGCCTGCGTCTCTATTTATAGGCGCCTAGGGACACGCCCCTTTCTTTAGAAACCAATCGCGATAGTATGGCTCCGTCACGTGACCGGCGCCGACTCGAGGTGAGTGTACCGGTAACGTGCAATGCAGATATTTTCCCGCCGTATTTTTCATGTTTGGGTTTTTTTGGGGGGGGGGGGGGGAGGGGGCGCTTAAATTCTTACGTTCCTCTCAAGAATTTTAGCCCGAGAAAAGAAACCACGGCTTATTTACCATCTCTTGAGTCCTATGTTTGCCTATCGGCCGGTTTTAATGAGACTTTCTCCCAACTCGCTTGGTATAGATTTGCAGTATTATGCCTATTCCTTCATATGTGTGTTTGATAGGCTTGACTTCTAAGTACATGTGTTAAGTCAGGTTGCACAAAATATACAATGAGTAAATGACAGGCGAGCAGCTTTTGAGTTATCATTAAACCTGCAGAGTTTAATGATTGCCTTTAAAAAAAAAAATCTCGTCCTCATCAATTATTAGTTGATTCTTGTTAGTATTTTGAACTCAATGGATTTATTCTATCCTCTGCTTAATATATTTTGTACTTTTGTACACGAGTAGGTCAGAATGCATTTACTAGATTCCGGGCACATCTAGATAATGCTGCCAGATAATTTGAAAATGTTGTCACCTTGACTTCAACTCTTTCTAAGCCTTCAATGTGTGTGAGGTGTTTCTATCCACTGGAGGGCACTCATTGCTCGTTTGGAAAATGGATAAGTGCATTGGGATGGATAGGCATAGGAAAGGGGGCTAGCAAAACTGGCCTACAAAATCAGAGGAATAGAGGTGGTCCTTGACTTACAACAGTTCATTGACCGTTCAAAGTTACAATGACACTGAAAAAAAATGACTTATGACCGTTTTTCACATTGCAGCATCCCCCTGGTCAGACGCTTGGCAACTGACTTGTATTTATGATGGTGGCAGTGTCCCGGGGTCACGTGATCACCTTTTCCATCTTTCTTACCTTACCTTATGATTCTTGACAAATGTATCTTCTCTTTTATGTACACTGAGAGCATATGCACCAAGACAAATTCCTTGTGTGTCCAATCACACTTGGCCAATAAAGAATTTTATTATAAGCAAAGTCAATGGGGAAATTGGATTCATTTATCAACTGTGTTATTAACAACTGCAGTGATTCACTTAACGATGGCAAGAAAAGTTGTAAAATGGGGCAAATTCACTTAAATGTTTCATTTAGCCGCATAATTTGTTGGGCTCAATTATGGTCGTAAGTTGAGGACTACCTGTACTGGACTTTGCTTTTACACTACTGGGACAGAAGGAGAAATTATAAAATACCTGACTGGAGAGTAATTGTATTTGCTTTATCAAATTGTAACGTTGCACGTTTGCCCTAGTCCCACCCACTACTTTTGGCAATCGGTCTTTCCAGTGCACATTTAGAAGGCTAATTCTCTGGAAAGATGCACATCTTGTTAGTTCCTTTTGCCAAAGGGCTGAAAGAGAATATGCAGAAAAGTGGACTCTCCTTGGGGACTTAAACTACGACTTGGCTGCCCCAGTCAGTCAAAAGCAGCCTAGAAACTTTCTCAAGCAGTGATAAGTGCAGCGTGGTGGTGTTGCAGAAGTGATCTAGGCAAAACATGATACCTCTCTCCAAATGAGAAAGGGAGTCACGATGGGGAGAAGGAGAGCAGAGCTGGACTCCCTGAGGCAAAGTTATTGCATATCTTTGCAAAGCACATCCTGGTCTAGAAGAGCCTCAAGAGCCGGGGTGCTATTCAGCAGGTTCTGACAGGTTCTGGAGAACCGGTAACGGAAATTTTGAGTAGTTCGGAGAACCAGCAAATATCACCTCTGGCTGGCCCCAGAGTGGGGTGGGAATGGAGATTTTGCAGAATCCTTCCCCTGGAGTGGGGTGGGAATGGAGATTTTGCAGTATCCTTCTTCCCCTGCCACGCCCACCAAGCCACACTCGCAGAACTGGTAGTAAAAAAATGTGTATTGCCCAAGAGGCTTGGTGTTAGGAGCTGTTGTGGAATTTAGTTGTGGTCTTGAGAAAGGAAGGGAAAGGGAAAGGAGAAGGGAAATGTTTGCTCAGCCCTGAGAAAGGGTGAGAAAAGGACTCCAAACATTCTTGCCTTCATTGGCCTTAAGGAGGAGTGTCAACAAGCTTTTGAGATTCTATAAATATACCCTACAGCAATAAAATAGCATGCCTGGAAACCCGTTTATTATCTATTTATCATACTTAGAAACTGCCCATCTCCCCCGCTTCCCTGGTCTATTCCAAAGGGCTAACTGGAGCCAAAGGAATCCCTTTAAATTTAGTTATGTCCTTATTGGAAAACGCTGCCTTTTTGTTTTTCCTTTGGTAGGACCCAGATTTTTTTGGTGGGATTTAAGGTGTGAAAGTTGAGACTCACTATTCTCACCCATATGTCCAATTTATAATCATACATACAAACACTGTTGGAGATTAAATTTTGGGTATCGCCAAAGTAGGTTTGACACACATACTGAGGGTGTGAGTAGGTAATTCTGTCAAAAAAAGCTGACGCATCATGTTCCAGAGCTTTCAAAATCCTTGAATTTTTCCTGCTATAGACTCCAATCAGCACTGCCAATGCTGGTTTGAGACAGCTGAAAGGTTGTCCACCCTGATTCAGATAAATTGCTGAGAATGGCAATGAGATTGACACTTTTTTCCCCATTTTTTTTGCCTCTTGTGAATGAAGAAGGGAAGAGCTTGGCTAGAAAGTCAATACCTTATAATTCTGATATTAAAAAATAAGAAGTGTCATATGGTTGTTCTTTGTATTCTCTAGCTGTATTTTGTTCAATGTCTTTCCTTTGGTTTACCAATATTTATTTCTTTGCAAATAAAATACAATAATATTATTAAAAATATAAATTTAAATACAGGTAGTCCTTGACATATGACCACAATTGAGTCCAAAACTTCCATTGCTAAGTGAAACAGTTTTTAAGTCAGTGTTGCCCCATTTTATGACCTTTCCTACCACAGTTGTTAAGTGAATCGCTTCAGTTGTCAAGTCAGTAACACGGTTATTAAGTGAATTTGACTCCCCGTTGACTTTGCTTGTCAGAAGGTCACAAAAGGGGATCACATGACTCCTGGGACACTGCAACTGTCATAAAATAATGCCAGCTGTCAAGCATTTGAATTTTGATCATGTGACCCTGGAGATGCTGCAATGGTCATAAATGTGAAAAACGCTCATAAGTCATTTTTTTCCAGAACCGTTGTAAGTCACTAAACAAATGGCTGTATGTCAAGCACTACCTATAACTATGAAATCTCAGTTTGAGTTCCTGACTACGGCATACTTGTTTTTTTAGATACCTGCTGTCCTTAATTTCTTGCATACAACCTTGAAATGAGCTGAAGAATCTTTAGCCTTCATACATATCTAGCTTTATCAGTCAAAAGATATGATGAGTTATAATTATTTATGTTAAAAATAATATTTTTCTGGAGAGATAGAAGAAGTAGAGAAGTAGAGAGAAATACAAAGAGGGTTACACACATGGAAGATGGATCTGTCTGTAATCCCTGCAAAACTTAAAGAATGAAGTGTGTGGTTGCACCTTGGGAATCCTATCGCACCATTTGTTTGCATTGATTCATTCATTTATTTAGAAGGTCCCTTCCAAATCACTGGATTCCAGCAACACCCTGCTCCCCATTGTCCTGTTAATCAATAGATCAATAGTTCTTCCTTCCTTTCCTTTCCTTTCCTCCACTTCCTCCATCCCTGCCAGTATGTCAAGCTATCCTGGAAGAGTTTGTCATTAACTGGTACTTTGATACAACTGGACAGCTGATCATTGAACATGGATTTTTTTATATCGTTGCTTGGCATCTTTTGATTATATACTGTAGCCAACCATTATTTTCAGTGGAAACTGCTCTAGAACATTTTGCAGAGCAGTTATTTATGAGAAAATCCAGGGAATCTGCTTTCAACCTCCTCAGCTAACCTTATGGAAAAGTCCATTGGCCTCATCTTGCTCCTGGCAGTAGCAACTCCGCCATCTCTTCCAGGGATCCCATCACTGGTTATTTGTTCAACAGCAGTACTTTTAAAAACCGTTATTTAATTAACTTTTTGCTTTTTGTTTTTCACTCAAATGCAAATGCTAATGAAAATATCCAAACATTTGCAAGCATGCTTCAAGTGATTCCTTGGAATTTGTTAGATATTGCCAAGGGGATGGATATTTTGGGGTGGAAATGGCTATATAGTTCTAATTACAGTGTGGGCAGCCACAGTGATAAATCTATTTCACAGTGCTAATGGGCCGTGATCTCCCCTTCGGTTAGGTTTAGTAAAATCCCAGAATAATAATATCCATTACCAATAAGTTTGATGATCATACAAATGGTTAGACTTACGTGCATTTAGCAATAGCACTTAGACTTAGACTTACCATATTTTTCAGAGTATAAGACACACTTTTTCCCCCCTAAAAGAGGGTGAAAATTTGGGTGCATCTTATACACCGAACGTAGCCCACCTGCTGGCCCCCACCCTTTAGCTTCTGCCTCCCAGCAATTTACCTCCTTGCAGCAAACAGCCCGTTTCAGCTTCAACACAACCTGATTAGCACAAGCAGTTGATTGTCGGTTGGATCAGCCTCCCAACCCTCAGCTGTTTCAGACTGCAGGGATTGCCATTGCCTATTGCTGCGTGGGGTTCCGGTGTTTGCTGCATGGAGGCAAATTGCTGGGAAGCAAAGGCCGAGGCAATTTTTTTTTCTTGTTTTCCTCCCCAAAAAAGGTAGGTGCGTCTTATAGTCCAGAGCATTTTAGACTCCGAAAAATACGGTATATACCACTTCACAGTGCTTTACAGCCCTCTCTAAGCTGTTTTCAGAATCAGCATATTGCCCCCAACAATCTGATTCTTCATTTTACCAACCTC